GGGGGGGGGGGGTGATGGGGGGCTCCTCCATGGCTGTCAACCCGCCCCCACCGTCATATCACTGAGGGCAGATGGATGGATGGATGGGATGTCGTGCAGGCGTGACGAGTGACGAGGATACGCAGTGTCTGCAGAAACCGTTTGTGGCAGTGGTGGTGGCGGCCGTGGTGGTGACCGCATGTGCATGTATGTACACACGCATGTACGTAGGCGGCGGCGGGGGGGAACTGAAAAAGAGGTTCTGTGACGCTGCATAATACAGGGGCGAAGAGAATCCCCGGGCGCGCTTTGTCGATGGAGGTCGGTCAGGTCATCATGCGTGCTTCGTACTACTTCGAAGTGGCACTGGCATCGGGTCGTCTCCGCCCTTTACCATAGTAAGGAGGACGGGGGCGGCGCATTGGGATGACGGCGCCCGCCCGGGCCTCCCTCCCCTGTGTGCTGCTGCTGCTGCTGCTGCTGCTGCTGCACTGCGCGATATTCATTGCTGCGCGGCGGCTGGCTGGCATTCGCGCCGGCGAGGGGGGCCCAGAGGGTGCGAGCCAGGGGATGGACAGAGAGACAGAGGGAGGGACAAATGTGTGCTGCCCTCGGCCCTCTCTAACTATCCGTCTGAGAGTCTGTGTGTCGGGGAGTGGCCTTCGTCAACGCGGCAGCCGATGCAAGGCACAAATTCGTCAAGCAGCTCGTGAATGGAGGCGTGGAATCGGCTGAAAGGCTAACCACCTAAACCAGTCATGACCCGGCAGCGGTCGCGTATTGCTGGGTGCTCTGGGCCCTTGTCCAGGTAGCCAGCCCGCCTGCCAAACAAACTCTGACTGACAAAGCCGGCGAGACGGACGATTCGTTTGGCGCAAAATACACATGACGAGAGCATCGAGTGCCACTGCCACGGGGGGCAGACGGAGGCACTTGCAAAGCACGAGACCCACCACGAGCAAATACCCAAGTTAATACCTGCCCATCTCGATGCGTCCGTCTGCCTCTGCCTCTGCCGTGTTTTTGTGTGTGGCATGTTAAACTGGAGGTGGGCAGCAGCCAGCCAGACAGCCAGCCAGCCAGCCCGAGGGCGCTAGGGAATAACGTTAGTGAGTGCTCGCTCACGACTTTGACGAACCGCCCAAGCCGCCCAGGTGGCCCGTACTAGGTAAACAGTGGCGGCAATACAGCAGTGGGCAGGAGGAACCCCGGGGCTTCGCATCGTCTCAGGAAAGGGTGGTGGAGGGTACCTGCCGCTCCCCCCCCGAACCCGCCGCCGCGCGCACCGACCGACCGCCCATCTCCGCTACCTCCACCTCTGCCGACCTCGACCTTCTCTTCTCTCTTGCTCTCTCTCTTCCACACCACCCTCCCCCGTCAATCGCGGCCCCCGACGACACCTCACGACGCGACCCGAATGCTGCGGCAGCCGCGACACCCAGACACCGCCTTCTTCGAGAATCCGCAGCGACGTGGCGCGTAGCGGCTTCTGCTCGGCCGTCTCAACTCGACTTGTACGCCGACCGACACCGCGCACGAGCCGCACACGAACGACACACGTCGAGGCGCGCAATGGTCTGACGACAACCACCCGCGCCCTTTGCTCGTTTTCTTGCACCCTCTCCGCCTACGCTCCTCCCTCTCGAGCTCGCCATTGTCTCCGCTGGTTTCGAGCGCCCGCCCGCTTGCACCTTGGCCTTTGAATAACCCCTGCTTGGCGTCGCCTTTTAACACCGACATCATGGCCACCGACACGGGCGGCACAACAACCACCGCCTTCTCCAGCCCTCTCTCCTCGGCCCCGGGATCTGCTCCCGCTTCGGCGCCTTCATCACCGCTTTCCAGCCTCCCTAGCACACCCTCTCTTCCTGGCTCGCCCGTCATGCACCAGCAGAGCCGCCAGCCGCAGAAGCGCCCGGACCCCTCGAGCCGCTACCCTTCGCCCACCTCGTCGGCGCCCTCGGGCACCCAGTCCCCCGTCAAGCTCGGCGAGCCCATGGACGACAGCCCGCGCCCGGCCAAACGGCGCAGGGTCACGCCTCCCAAGGAGCGCACCACAATGTATCTGGACCTCATGAAGCCCAATGAGGACTTTTCCCACGAAGACAACTTCCAACTGCAACGTCTGCTCTCCGCCCTTCGCAAGAAGAAGAAGGTGGTCGTCATTGCTGGCGCCGGCATCTCCGTCTCTGCGGGCGTCCCCGACTTTCGCTCGTCGACGGGCCTCTTCGCTACGGCCCGCAGTCAGCACAAGCTCAAGGCCTCGGGCAAGCACCTTTTCGACGCCTCCGTCTACAAGCACGACTCCTCCACCCAATCCTTTCACACCATGGTCCGCGAGATGGCCGGCATGGTCAAGGACGCCAAGCCCACGCCCTTTCACCATTTGCTTGCCTCCCTCGCCAAGGAGGGCCGTCTGCTCCGCCTCTACTCGCAAAACATTGACTGCATTGACACCTCCATGCCGCCGCTCCACACGAGCGTGCCTCTCGAGCCCAAAGGCCCTTGGCCCAAGACGGTTCAGCTGCACGGTGGCCTCGAGAAGATGGTGTGCACAAAGTGTGGCGACCTGAAGCCCTTCAACGGCGACCTGTTCAACGGGCCCGAGGCGCCCCTCTGCGGCATGTGCAAGGAGCAGGACGAGGTGCGCACCGCCTACGCCGGAAAGCGCAGCCACGGAATCGGCCGGTTACGGCCAAGGTTTGTTCTCTACAACGAGTTCAACCCGGACGAGGAGGCCATTGGCAATGTCGCCAGGGCCGACCTCAAGGCCCGCCCCGACGCCGTCATTGTTGTCGGCACTACGCTCAAGGTCCCCGGCACCCGGCGGCTCGTCAAAGAAATGTGCCAAGTCGCTCGCGGCCGCAAGGATGGCTTCACCGCGTGGGTCAACATCGACTCGGAGCCCAAGGGCGTTGAGTTTAAAGACTGCTGGGACATGGTCGTGCGCTCTAAATGCGATGACGTGGCACGCCTCGCCAGCCTACCGCCCTACGACTGCGAAATCGGCGACAACTTTGAGATTTCTCCGGAGCAGTACGCCGAGAAGATTGGGGCTCTGCGCAAGAACAGCATCGAAGTCGGCATCCCCAGCAGTCCAACCAAGACGGCCATCGAGGTGCATATCGAGGCCAAGCCGAAGCAGGTCGAGGACATGCAGGCCATGCCGACACCGTGCCCGAGCCCGCCCGTCTCGGCCAGCAAAGGGCCGTCGAAGGCGAAGCAGACCAAGATTGTCTTCACCAAGCCGACCCCCGGCAAGGCCGCAACCGCCAAGGACCCCAGCGGCAAGGCGGCCAAGCCTCGCGCTCGCAAGCCCAAGCAGCCGGCCAAGGGCAAGGCGCCACCCAAGAACACCATCATGGAGAAGCTTAAGACGAGCAAGGCAACCATCGTCGACACGACCACGACCAAGAAGATTGTGCCGGACGCCTCCGTGCCCTCGCAGGGGCCACCGCAGGCCGCGCCTCAGGCGCCCTTGGGAAACGTGGCCATCAAGGGCGAGGCCGAGATCGTCTGTGCACTGCCCGCCCTGCGCCCGGAGCTGTCGCAGCGGCGGAGCTCGTCAGACAGCTATTTCAAGTGCGAAGACGGCGAGGCGCAGTTGGCGGACTCCAGTTCTGCTCCTCCTTCGACCCCAGTCATGGCAGAAGAACCGTTTTCGCGGGAGACTGTCTCTCCCAAAAGCATCCCGCAGAACATGCGGCACCTAATTGATGTATAATGGCATGAATGGGAGGCGTTGCATCATTTCCGGTTGATGAGCCCGCGATGGGCAGGCGTTTGCGTTAGATGTGGCAGCGGTCGGCGGACAGGTCGTCTAGACGGGCGGGCCTCGAGCATTGGTAACCGTGGCGTTTCGGTGTGGATTTGGGTCTTGGAGCCGGAGACGATGGATCGGCCGACGAGGATGGTCGGAAGCATCTAGGTATCTCAAGCGGGTAGCCAAGCATCGGCCGGCCGTACGCCGTGCGGCATTGATATCGACCTGGCGGCCCTAGCAGTTGGAGCAATTTCAATACCCCAAGACTGCCGACGAGTAACCCTTTATGCCGTGCCATAGGCCCTCCACTTCACTCGTGATGACAGGTTCTATTATGTACACGGAGTGGACATGGATGACTTGTTAAGTCGTCAAGGGAGAATACCGACGTTACACAACGCGAACGGAGCTGTTCCTCAGCCGACATGATACAGACTAGCCCGCCACGCAGCTGCCGTTGCAGTGCTTGACGTCCTCGACATAGTCGATGACGACGCCGCCGAGCTTGTCCAGGTACCTGGCGCACCCGCAGTGCCAGTCGGACATGAGGCCGACCATGAGGTCCACGTCCTCGCCGGCGCCGGCGCCGCCCTTCATGCCCTCGAAGAAGGCGCATATGCCGCCGTCCTTGCCGCCCCCCATGGGCCAGCAGGATATGAGCCGCCCTTGTTGCGGTACCACCTCGTGCGGTAGGACTTGTCGCCGCGCGCGTGCGCGTACGCGTACAACGCCCTTGAAGACGGGCGCCCAGTCGTGGATGCCCCTGCAGGGCCTGTTGCCCCTGCAGGCGACGACGCGCTGCGGGCTGTGGATGGGGTCGTCGCACTTGCGCGGCAGCGTGTTGTTGGCGGAGGAGGAGGAGGAGGAGGGGGGGGGTTCGCACTCGGGGACTTTTTCTCCCCAGGCTGGTGGTGCTGGTTTCCCCCGCCGCTGTCGTCGTGATGCCGGCTGCGGTCTCTGTCTCGTTCGCGTGCTGCCTCGTCTTCTGCCGCGGCGCCGACGTGGTGGTGGGACTCTCCTCCTCCTCCTCCTCCTCCTCCTCCTCCTCTGGGCGTGGTCGTGGTCTTTGCTGCAGTGGACGGGCGGCGCGGGCAGGAGCGCCGCGAGGGCGGCGATGAGGATGTGGAGGGGGTGCATTGCAGGAGCAAAGGGGCGGCGGGGCGGTTAGTTGCCCGGCTGGACGGACGGGGGCGTTGCTAGATGTCGTTGTTGGCGTTCTCAATGATGACGGGGAGACGAGGCGGCTTGACTTTGCTGTCTGTCTGTGCTATGCTTTTGGTTGTAGATGTTCCAATAACAACAACAACAACAACAACAACAACAACAACAACAACAACAACAACAACAACAACAACAACAACAACAGCAGCAGCAGCAGCAGCAGCAGCAGCAGCAGCAGCAGCAACAGCAAACCTCACTCTTACTCCAACGCAAGTCTCGTATCGCCCCTGAGCCCCTGATATGTCCTCGGAATGGCCCTTTATATAAGCTGCCAAATACAGGACGCACACGCTGACCTCGGGCACCAGACGGCCAGGTTGGGTTCCCAGACATAAGGGCCTGGATTGACAAAATAAAGTTGAGGACGAAGGGGACAGGGAGCGCCCGTGACGAGACTTTTGGGCGCCGCAACTGGGGGGGCCTGAGAGTGCTCGTGAGAGTGCGGGCTGGGTTGCGCGGCGTTTCGACTCGGTTGCGCGGGCCACACAACGACGATGAAGTTGAACTGCTTCGTGATATAGACTGCGAGTGTTTTCAATGGCCGAGTGTTTTCAATGGCGGGAGACACGGGCTTATACGCCGGGGGTCTTTCTTTTGTGCCACTGTAAGTTTACACAGGAGTCGCAGGCTCTCCGTAGTTAATATCTGGCAGGCTCGAATTGGGTCCGATAGCCATGTCCAGTGTCTTGATTGATGTTTGGCAGTTCGGCAGAGAGTATCATAGGGCGTTTTCGACATGGGTATCAAGGCAGTGGATTTGGTCACGAGAGTTGCATAAAAGCTGCCTCATCACCCTGTATCGATCGGTCTACCATACCGGATGCCCTCTCAGCCCGACACGCAGCTTCCCCTGTAGCTGTTGACGTAGACGACTTTGACGGCGTTGACGGCGTTGGCATCTTGAGACCTTCCGCCGGCGAACAGGCCCAAAGTCTGGGTTTATGCCAGTGTAATAGGCTAGTCGAACTGATGGCCAAGAGTGGATACGAAGCCAATGCGTTGTTGCCGTCGATATCATCACCGTGTTCATCTCTCCACCCCCAGAGGCAGTTTGAGCCTCAGTCCTCGAATGTGAGGGTCGTCGCGAAAACCCGGCCTCCCCATTGTGCTTCATCAACTGGCCATGGCGCATGTTGAAGCGTCTACTGGAGCACACGCAGGACACATGGCTTATGATGCCCGCCGCAGCGAGGCGTGTACTGTCACTCGTTGCCGTGGTCTCAACGGATCCCTTGTTTTCTTTACCTTTTTTTCCCTTCTCTTTTCAATTCTCTTTTCATCAATTCGATTGCCTCAGAACTCATCTGACGATCGAGACCAGAAGCAGCTCCTCGGGTTCGGTAGCAACACACCAACATGGTCACGGGTTACAAAGTCGTGTCTTCGTGCACGGAGTTGTGAAAGTGATAACGCATAAGTCACGGCTGAGGAGAGAACAAGGTAGCTATGCCGCGTTAAAGAGTTGATGTCTAGCTGGCACTGTGGTCGAGGGAGAGAACACTTTGGGGAATCTTGCCCTCTTTGCGCTGCACGCCAGAGCGGCCCTAGCTGCTGCCCCTTCTTCTCAGTTGTGACGCTCCCGATATGTAGGGTTCGGAGGGGTCGGGAACTTCTTGACGCCCAGTCCCCCGCGGATAGCCTTAGGATCAAAGAGTTTGTCGTTGTCGACCGTTCCGTCGGAATTGAAATCAATGCCTGAGCCCGCCCCCTTCCGAGCGGGATATACCTCAGTCGCAAAGGTCCAGAATTGATCGAAGTTTTTGCGGAGCTCAGCCGGAGCCCTCAGGCCTTGCGTCAGTGTCTTGCTGCAACCTTGCTCCGGCTTGCGGAGCTCCGAGACGATTCTTGCGCCCTCGTCTTTCCCAAACGCCAGCTCGGCAGACTTGGCCGCAGTGGCTTCCTCGCGGGCTATGCGGGCCTGACACTGTTGCGCGCTCGCCTTGTGCGCCTGCTGGAGACGCCCCATGGCATCCTCGATTTTTGGCTCGAAGTCGGGCAGCGGGGGTGCAGACAGCCCCCTGATGATGGCATCTCGAGTCTTGAGGACCGCAACTGCTTTGATGGCGCGCTCCAACTCGGTCATGGCCGACGTGTTGGATGGCTTGGGATGGGCGACTCGAGAAAGGGACGCCGCGTCGACGAGGTGGAAACAAGTCCCCGACAGCTTGTCCAGTGTCGCTTCCCTGGATCCCTGGCGTGAGTACCCAACGGACCATTCAATGTTTTTCCTCAAGACGGGCTTGACGACCCGCATCGCGAGGTCCGCAAGGCTGTTGTCATATTTCATCTTGTTGTTGTCGGGAGTGGCGGCAACCAGCTCCTTGACCAGGGCCGGAACGTCAGGAGCCGGGTCTTGTTCGAGCCCTCCTCGGTCAATGACCTCGTCCAGGTGCCTGACCACGTTGGACAGTTCAATGGTCCTGCCAAAAGTGTCGAGCTTTTTGTCGAGCTCGGCCTTGGCCCCAGGGTCACCGATATGCTTTTTCGGAACCCAGACCTGGTGGTACTCGGCCGGTTCGCCGGCCCATTGTCTAGCTATTTTGCATTCAAAGGGAACCACGCCGTCCGTATCAACGTGTCCGTTGCGAAGCAAGTCGTAGTAGCAACTTGCCGTGAGCCCAACGCACTGTCCGTCTTTGACTGTATTGTTCTTCCATTGGTCCACGTGCAGGCACTTAGACCAGCCTCTAGTCTCGTCTGAGTCCACTGTGTACCATGCTTGCCCGGAAGCAAGGCCTGCAAAGCAGACGGCTGCGGTGAAGACCTTCATGACAGCGATGGAGAGATTGACTTGTTGTTCGAGCCGGTATGTCAAGAGGAGAACGGCGTCGACTTGCCAAAACGCTTGAGACGGAGCGCCGGAGTCGTCCTTATATATACACGTGCACTCGTGCTCGAGGGCAAGCACTGCTTGATGCCGTGCTGCAACTTTAAAGAGTCTATAATGCACATGCATCACGATACTGCGTCTTTCCAATATCATGCAGCGCCACAGAGGCCGCGCTGTATCTACTGACCATCGCCCAGATCGGTGCGGTACGGCTCTTCGGCGCCAAGGCGCGTGAGATGCATTCATGCAAGGCGAGGGAGACTATTGAGCACAAAGGTCTCTGGAGCGTGCTACAAAGTGCTTCATGCAGCGTTGGGATAACAGGACCGGCCAGCTGCAGCGACACGGCCCATGTCGTCAAGGCATTGACTGCCTTCTGGCCTTGGCTCGCAGCGATTGCGAAAAGGCAAGGAAAGGTATACATCGCGAGATTTGGTTTATGCGCCGCCCCATCTGGCCGGCCCGCTGAGCACGCCGTGACGAAGCATGTATGACTTTCTTCTTCATGCGCCGGGCCTACACTACACCGGCAGGCCTCAGCCTCTCACCCCTATATGCCCCTTCACGTGCACACTGCTGCTGTACAAAGTACTATATCTTGCAGTGTCTAATAAGACGCGCGTGTACTAGAAGCGGCCGTCGCGAATTACGCCTCGAAGAAGCCATCGCAGACTTGGTGGCCGCCTGAACTCATTCGAAGTATGTTTGATTGCATCAACAATGCCATCCTCGACGCGCGCGCTTCCTCTCTGCTGGGCAACGGGTCCCATTACACGGCTGTGGCCAAGCGCGTCGTCCCGCCCGGCCGTTGTCACTGGCAGGCTGGCTTACCGACTTTCTGCAGCTGCGAACCTATACCAAACCATTGATTAGCTGCGCGGATCCATGCCTCTACGACGCGAGGTCACAGCAGCAACCGTACGAAGCAGGCCACGTCGATGAAGCGGCCCCAGCGACAACTACATCCGCTTGCCCGTGGTGGAGAAAACCAGTCCTCAGAACACCATGCCATGAGGATAGCGAGCACGACTACGCCGTCAGGCAGTGTGTGGGGTGAGGCAACAACATCCTGATGCCCAAGGCGATTGACGATGGCGGCGCGGCTTGCCCCGAATCGACGCTGGAACAGCACGAGCATATCAGTTTCTTCGAGATTCAGCGAATGCGCCGGGTCGTGCACGTCGTCATGTGCGACGCCCTGTTTCCCGCAGTCTCGGCATGAGTAGATAGACAATGGGCGGGAGGTCCATGGCAAATCCCGCGCGAAAACTGCTCACACGAGAGAGTCCAAACTGCAAGATCTCGCTGTCATCGCATTCGTTTCTTGTTGAGGGGGTATCTCTCTCTCGCTATAGATCGCTGATTCAGAAACGCACGCGTGATTTCGTGTTACACGTCCGGGTCGTGTACCCCATGTCCCCATGTCCCATGGGCCGGCGGACCACCGCCGCCGTCGTCACCGGAAGTGAACCTCAAACTTGTTCATGTCCTCGACGTCGGCCTCCTCCATGGTGACGTGCTCGTCCAGCCACTCGCCGTCAAACCTGACGCGCAGCTGTGTGTCCGACCCGACGCCCCGCTCCTTTCGGAACCCCGTCGCCAGCGTCTCGACCGTCGTCTCGGGCCGCACCGTCAGCCTGACGTCCTCGAGACCCTTGGCCTCGAGTATCACCCTGATCTTGATCTCCGGCGCCGGCGGCTCCTCGTCGACGTACTCTTCTTCGGACAGCTCGCCAGCCTCGCGCTTCAGCCGCTGCTCCTCCTCGCGCTCCATGTCCTGGAATAGCTCCGGCGTCCACGCTTCCATGTGCACCCGCTTGGCGTCTTCCATCAGCCCGTCCCTGCTGTTGCCGTCCACCCAGACGCGTCCGTGGCGCGGCCGGATGCCCAGGTGGAGGAGCGTCGAGGTGACGTAGACGCGCTTGCGCCGCCAGGTGAGGATGATGTCGTCGGCACTTTGTACCGGGAGGGTGGCCCCCTTTTGCTCCTGCACCGCCATCCACGTGTCGCGCACCACCTTGAGCGGCCTGGTGTAGAGAAACCTGGCACGGAAGGATGACGTGTTGGCCACCTGAGACGTGACGACTATCTCGACCTGCTCCTTTGGGGCCGGCGTGCCAGTGTCCGTGCCACTGTCCATCATGGCTTGGTCGCGCGCGCGTTGCTGCTCGGCTTTCCGCACGTACTCTTCAAACTCGGCGTCCTCGTCGTCGGGCGGCAGCAGAGCGGGGGAGTCGTCGACCACCACGAGGCCGCTGGTGCTTCGGCGTCGTCTGGACGGAGTCGCAAAGACGGCGTCCGACTCCGAGTCCGAGTCGATGGGGATGACCACGTCGTACGCCCGTGGCGCCGCCCTCTGAGGGGAGCTCTTGATCGGCGTGGCTGCCTTGCGGTTTGACCGTAGAAGGCGCGTAGATGGCGAGTCGACGGCAACTTCTTCGGCCTCCTCAAAAGACGGGATCGGGGTCTCAGTGGGAGTTAAACCGATCCTCGTGCGCTTCGACGCGGGAGGGGTAACCAGATCGCTACTTCGTACGTGGTGCCACGTCAGCCAAAGTCTAAAATCCTACGACAATGCGAAAGCTGCTCACCTGAAGCTCTCCTTTTCCACGGTCGTAGACTTATCAAGGCTGACTGGGTTGGGGCCGAGGCCGGCCGCGGACTCTGCCGTCGACGGTGGTTCTTTCGAGGGGCTTCCGTGCTCCCACGATGGGCCGTCGTCGTGGTGCGCGGCGTCAACATCGTCACCGTCTTCCTGTAGGGGCCGCTTGCCCAGCTTGATGGACGCCCGTTTCCTCTTCTCCTCCTCGCGCTGCTGCTTCTTCTTGAGCCTGCGCTCGCGTTCCGCCGCGACAATGGGCTCCATCTCCTTGGCCCTGCGGAAGAGCGCGAGCCCGTCGTCATCGTTGTTGTTGTTGTTGTCGTCGGGCGCATTCTTGTCGTCGTCGCTGGAGGCGTGCTTGGGCAGCGACGTCTTGCGCAGCGCCGTGGGCTTGAACGGCAGCTTCTTGAGTCGCTTCGGTGGCGACGTCGCGGCACCTCCGTCGGCCATGGCGGGAGGCTAGGCTGCGGACGCCCGTTTGCCGTGGGCTTCTTCTTCTGATCTGGATTCTGGAGCTCGAGCGAATGCAATGCCACTACTGCGACTGCCGCCACCACATGGATGGGAAGCACGAGGGCTAGCCAGTCGTTTTTATAGTTGGTGGGCGTGGGGGGGTGGTGGTGGTGAGGCTGTCAGACAAAGACGACGCCGGGAAGACAAAAAGGCGACGGGCGGTTCTTGGCGGTTGCGAGCCGCTCGTCACGGGCGCGTGGAGGCGCGTCGCAAGGCAACTTTTGGGGGCCGCTTCAGTGGAGGTCCAGCGCTAACGGCTGCGGCTCCGAAGGAGTGCAGCGAGGCGGGCCCGCCACAGTGCGAGCCACCCCCACAGGCCCAGCAGCCTTACCGCGCGCTACCTCGAGATCGGTTCCTCCAGGTTCTGACCTCAGCAATCTCAACCTCCGTCTCCGACTTCAACGTCGATCCGTCACATCACATCACCGCCAGCGCCTCACAGCCCTCCAACGCACCGCCGCCCTCCTCGCCACTCACGCGCCTACTCATCGCACGCAGACCCTCTCAAAATGGAGAACGGCAGCGCCTCGCAGGGCGAGGGCAAGGACCCGTCCAGCTTCCTGAGCGACATCATCGGCAACCCCGTCATCGTCAAGCTCAACTCGGGCGTCGTCTACAAGGGTGAGTTGAGAGAGACGCTCCCGGCGCGTCGCTGGCCGACTGACCGTGGCCGACGACTGACGCGACTACAGGCGAGCTGCAGTCGGTGGACGGGTACATGAACATTGCGCTCGAGAAGACGCAGGAGTTTGTCAACGGCACCAAGCGGAGGGAGTACGGCGACGCCTTTGTGCGAGGCAACAACGGTGAGGCGCCCTCCCCTTCATCCACCACCACCACCACTACCGCCTCCTCCTCCTCCTCTTCCTCCTCCTCCTCCTCTTCCTCCTCCTCCTCCTCGTGCGGTGTCGCCCAACCAACCCCTGACGGACTGGCCTGCTGACCTACGTGCGAACAGTCATGTACATTTCCGCAGACTCATAAAGCTTGAGATGAATTAAAGAATATCAAGAAGAAATATTGCATGTCATCCGTCCTGATAATGCAGTGGTGTTCCGGCGGCCTACAGTCTACAGCCTCGTCGTCCACGCATATACCGTCGTCCCGTGAAACTCAATCTCGCCCTCGTCGTTCCAGCTCCCGTCCGCCCCGTCCAGGATCTCGTCGAAGCGCGCCCGGAACGCCTCCCTGGGCCCGCCCCTCTCCAGCATGTACACCTGGCTCAGCGTGTTGACGCGGTCCCAGAGCAGCTCGCGCGTCCGCCACACCGTGAACGGCAGCCGCTCCTCGGCGATGGGCGTCGACACGAGCCTCTTCTCCTCGTCCCGCTCCGCCGCCTGCCGCTCGAATACCTCGCGCCACTTGTCGTCGCGGAAGCGCGGCGGGCCGTCGGCGGGTAGGGCCAGGATGAGCTCGTTGAGCTCCCGCTCCCAGCGCGTGGATGCCTTCCACCCGCGCGGCTGGTTGTCTGGCCGTGGGGAGCGCGCGCGTTCTGTTTAGCCAGGGGAACAACATATGCGTGATAGCCGTACGCAGGAAGTGGAAAGGGAAAAGGGGAACGCACATTCTTCAATGTTCCAGATGACGCCCAGCTTGCCCCCCGGCTTGAGCACCCGGCGAATCTCCCGCAGCGCCTCCTCGTGCGCGAACCTAGTGATACCCAACGGGCCTTTCATGAGCGTTCTAGTGTCTGCAGAAGCTTCCTCCTTCCCTCCCCCTCGTAGAGGCCCTGATATCGTGCTGGCAAAGGTAAAGGCAACGGCTGCACTCACCAGTGAAACGACTGCGCCGCCACCACGGCGTCCGCCCACCCGTCCTCCACGCCCTCCATCCTCGTCGCCAGCCCGTCCCTCGCCGTCACGCCCGCCAGCCGCTTGGCCTCGAGCTCGCGCCGCATCTTGGCCACGGGCTCCACGGCCACCACCTCGAGGCCCTCGCCTTCCCCGTCACCCTCGCCCTCGCGCCGCCGCGCCGCCAGCAGCTCCGTGAACTTGCCCGTCCCCGCCGCGAGGTCGACGACGCGGCGCGCGCCGGCGCCCGTGACGCCCAGGTGCGCGAGCAGCGCGTCGACGGCCCGGGGCGGGTACGACGGCCGGTGCAGGTCGTATGCCGCCGCGTCGTCGAAGCCCTTTGCCGCGGCCTGGTCGACGCCGGCGACGCCTGCGGTGGGTGTTGCTGACGATGAGGACGCCATTTTACCTCTAATGCTTGCTTCGCTCTCACTTAGCAATGGCAGTAGTTATCCGCGGAACAAAATAATGCACGGAAAGACCCCAACCGGTCTTCAACAACAACACGGCCATGGATGACGGTACGCCCCTCCGTCTCGGGCGCTTTATTATATATACGTCGAGCATCCGGCTTCGGCACGGCGCCGTTGCAGCCGAGTCAAGTCGCGTGCTAATAACCTAACTAACGGGAGCTTACTCTTGCGTCAAGGCGTGCCGTCCCACTGGATGATGCAACTGGAGGGTGGTGGTGGTGTTATCGAGCTATGCCCCGACCATCGGAGCGGAAGCCGATCGAATTACGAGCCCGTTGTTACGCCGCACCGCGCCGTACTCGTACGCACAGAGCAGCTACGACAACTTCACCATGCAAGTCTTTGCTTATTTATTCACTGATTCATTCACTCACTGCACAATCCTGGGTGCCTTCTTCGGCCGTTATTCATTTGGCGTGTCTCATGTATGTACAAGCTCGTCGTGAAAACGTTACATTGGTCGCCCTGATCGTCGCCAGGCCCGTGTCGGGCCGCGACGGGCGCCGCCCTAATGACGCCGCCGCCGCCTCATGCTCGGGCACTGTACAGTACAGCATCGTAATTGTCCGCTGACATAACAATTTATATGGTGGCAGAGCCCAGCGTCGACTCCATCCCGTGCAGTCCCTCTAGCTGCGGGACTTCTTCCGCAGCTTCGACGGCCCCTCGCTGCGTTGCACCGTGGCATCCGTGTCAACGTTTGACTCGTCCGCATCGTAGCTTAGAAGCTCCTGCCTGGGGCCCAAGACTCCTGCCGGCAGCACCTCAAAGCCCATGTTGCTGCGCCTCGTCTTTCTGTTGGCGTATACTTCGGCCGTGCCGTACAAGACGGCCTCGCGGGGCTCCACCTCGAGCGAGTGCCGATGCGAGTACGACATCGCAGTAGGCACCGTGAGATGCTGCTGGTGCAAGTTCACGGGTGGAAGCAGGGGGAAGCTTCGTTCGTGGGAGCTTGGTGATGAGCTAGGCTCCCCCCCTCCCTGGGTTTCTCGTGACGTAGATGGCCTCCTCGTCGAATACGTCGACAGCATCTCGGTTTCTGTCGAGTCGCGCACGTCTGCCGCGGACCAGTCGCTGCTCCTCGCGGCTTCGACGGCCGCAGGGAAGCGCGTCATCGTCACGCGCTTTGCCATCTGGGCGTCCTCGACGGAATATGTGGTAGAGTCGTCACGCAGCCTCGACTCGACGGCCCGTTCCTTACCCTTCCACCTGCTACCATGCGGCTCTTCCGTAAGTGTGACGGTTGACGAGGCTCCGAGTCGGCTGCCGTCGGGCGTGTTAGTCCGCGATATCCAGATGCCCTCGACCTCGACGCCGCTCTCCAGGGCGCGGACTCCAAAGGGGATATCGTTGGGGTTCGTCGAGTCGATGCCGCAGTGCCGCATCTCCTGGAGCCGCCGTCTCCTCTCCTCCTCGATGATTTCGTACTTTCGGATTCTGCGGTTGGACCACCACAGCTTCACGACGCCGACGACAAATACAAGCACGATGGCACAGGCGAGGACCTAGACAAAGGCGGAGCGTGAGCCCAAGGGGCCTGCGGCGTAAGAGGGGGGGTCTCACAAATGTCATGTCCTGCCATAGCTCCCAACCGACAAAGAATTTACCCATTTTGGTCGTCCCGCGCGAGAACGCCTCGTGAGAACTTGCGTATGCAAGTGCGAAGACGCCTGCCAAGTATTATAACGAATGTGGGAAAGAGTCTGGCGGACGTGATTAAGCGAGAGACGACGAAGCCATGGCAGGCCTTAGCAGTGAAGTCGTGTCACGCTCTGCACTCAGGTGGAAAGGGAGGAAGAAAGGATTGGGCCCGATCGTCGCTCCGACACAAACGAGGAGCAGCAGCCGGCATAAGGTAGATGTGAGCCAAGGCAGCGGGTCTGGAGTGGAAAGAACCAGCGGCGGCGGGAGTGGCAGCTGGCAGTCCGTGACACCGGAGCTCGTTTTTTTCCCTCTCGGGATGCAACCACAGAAAGGTGAGGAGCGATCGACGTTTCAGTCACCAACGAGAGGACAAGACACGGAGATCGGGCAACCTAAAGAAGCACAGGGGCTTTCGTGTCTGTGCCTTTTTTGGTTCAGCGAGTAATTCACGGGCAGACGCACCGCCAGAGCGTCAGGATTTTAGTCAAGGTGCAAGGGAGCCGCAGAATGCTTGCTTTTTGGTCCCGGGGTGGGCTGCGACATGCAGATGATGCAGTGGACGGTGGACTCTGTGGCTATTCTCGTGGCTGTTGCATCGTCTCACAGGGACAAGAGCCCTGGTCCCGGAGCAGCAAAGAAGAAGCAGCAGCAGCAGGCCCGGCAGGGCGGCCATGACGGGGGCGGCGGCGGCGGCGGCGAAGGCGGCGATTGTGCGGCCAACAACTCAACGGCGGTGCTGTTGGGCGTCGCGGCCGGGGTCACCAAGACCCAGGGACGCATGGGATAGGCGCTCGATGGCCGGCGGCATGTTGCACAGGAGGCGCAAGGACGCACACACGTCGCACGCCCGCTCCCGAACAAAGCTGCCGATCTGCGGCCGAGCTGGGCGCTGGCGTCGGCGGTGCAACCCTTGCTGCGCAGTGGCACGTTGGCGACGGCGCAAAGGGACGGGGAGTCGTATGGTATGTGCAGCACCGAGTCATATGTATGGCTCCGGGGCGACCAGCCAGGCAGGCCGGCAGGCATGGCACGATGCGACGTGGACCGCCGGGGGGCCGTCGTTCGTCCGTCCGTCAGTCCAGAACGGCGCGACTGGGTCTCCTCCACAGCTTGGCAGGCATCATCGCGCCGCCGCCCTCGTTTGGAGCCAGCCAAGCCAGCGCACCGCGGTGCTCGGCTGGGTCGTGCAGGGACCACGGGCGGACGCTCTGCAGCATGAGCCAACGCGATACGAGGGCGCGAGATGCGGACGAGGTGGAGGCGGCGGTGGCGGAGGAGGAGGAGACGGACGGTGGGGTGGGTGCGTGACGGCGAATGGCAGTGCGACTCGTGCACAGTACGGGACAATACAGTAAGTGTGTGTGACGAGGAGGAGAATCAAAGGTGTCGACGGGGACGGAGTGAAGTTTTGGGGGCGGGAATCCAGAAGGGAAGGGGTCCGCAGCTGCGGCAGGTGCGAGCAACCTGGAACACGCCGTTGCCCCGGAAGGAGCCTGAACTCGGCAAGGCACGTACCGTAGTTAACTACGTACCTAAACGGTACTGGCTCCCGGGCTGGCGCTGTTCCTGGCGCTGGTTGTGCGCCACTGCAGACGGCCAGCCGCCACGTGCTTGCCATTAAAAGAAGCGGCATCAATCCCGAAGAGACGACGGTGCCTGCCTGCCGCAACATTTACAGTGTTTCATTCTGCAAGATATACATTACCTTACAGTCCCGTACTTGCATCTAGATTCATGAATGCCACTTTCGACGAAACTCTCCGTCTTCTCGCATGGCACGATGTCTAACCCCAGTGCGTCAGCCCGGGCTACCCTGCGACTTCGTCCGTAATGTCATCTCGCTACCTTGGATGCTCCGAGACATCGGCATGTGAAGCATTGAAGGCAGTGCTGCCATCTCCTTCTACACGACGACGCAGAAGCGTGATAGATGACTTCGCTTACACGCGATCTAAGATGACCCAGAGACAACGGCACATTTGCCCGTCACATCTCAAACTCGACGACGACAAGACACGACATTATTCATACGATCTCGCTGTTCTCATCAAAGTACTAGACCCGGCCTTTCATGGCGGCGAAACCACAAACAGAGGCCTTCACCAGCTTCATAAAGCCCCAGTAACGTAACCGGTAGTCAAGAATCGACTTCCAGTGTTCGGCCGCAGCCTCTCTGCCAACCCGTGCCACATGGCCATGGCAACCACTCGGCTCGCCTATACATCGTACCGGAAATCGGGGTTCTGGATATCCGTCAAGTCCGCAAACGCGTTCGAGTGCGAAATATGCTCCCTGCCCTGTCCCTTGCCCTTGCCCTCGCCCTCGCCCTCGGCCAGCGGGCGGCCGTCGTTGTCCGCGTCCGAGCCGACGTGGGCGGCCCTCTTGGCGGCGTTGCGGCGCACCAGCAGGACGCGCAGCGTCGCGAGGATGCCGTTGAAGATGACGTAGAGGCAAAAGTGCGCCGTGAAGCCCTTCCTGTATCGCGGCGCGTCGCTCGCCTGGAAGATCTGCGGCGCCGTCATGTTGCCCACGGCCCAGCCGATAAAGGTCAGCGCCAGCGTCGTCGACTTCTTGGTCTGCCCCGCGATGTTGCGCGAGATGAGCGAGAAGATGAGGTTGCCCTGCGCCAGGAAGAACTGCGTGCAGTAGAAGGCGATGAGCAGCCCGATGCGCGTGTCGTGCGTCGGCGCGATCGAGTAGATGACGGCGGTGCCGATGATGGCCGGACTAGATGTCGTTTGTGGTTAGCCAAACCGACCGACGATGGGCGCGCAAAACGTCCGTCCATATAAACATCGTGGAGGAGAGGAACACTCACACCGACCAGCCGTGCATGACAAACGCCGTCTGCCGCGTCACCGTCGCCGTCCACGCGCCCCCGACCATGACGCCGATGGTGACGGCGCCCTGCGCAATGTTGAGCAGCTGCGTCTGCAGATACGTAAAGCCAAACGACTTGATGATGAGGTTGGAAAAGGTGCTCAGGCCGCCGATGATGAGCGTCGACGTGAGCTGCAGCAGGATGTAGCACCACACGACGGGGTCCGTCAGCGCCTCCTTGATCTGCGGCTTCTTGTACTTGCGGTTCTGGATGCCCGTCTCGTTGGCGCGCACCCGCTCCACCATGAGCCGCTTCTCGTCCTCGTTGAAGCACTTGGCCTTCATGGGCGAGTCGGGCAGCCACTTGGCCAGACACGCGGCCCAGACGACGGTCGCGAGGCCGAGCACCATGAAGAGCAGCTGCCACGACTTCATGAGGGCGCCGCTGTAGTGCGAGACGCCGTAGGCGATCATGCCGCCGAGCTGCAGGAATGAGAAAGATCAGGTGTTAGATATGTAGGCACGCGGTCAAGGGGGCACCCGTGGTTGCTCGCGCGCGAGCACTTACCATCAGCTGGATGCCCATCATGGAGTACCACAGAGACACGAGAATCATCTGCTCCTGCTTCGTGTACTGTTTTGGGCCTAATGTCAGCCGCCAGTCAGGAAGAGACCATGCCCTCCCGCGTTTTATTCAGTGTACACATACCCACATGGACGTTCTGCCGCCGTCACCACCCGTTAGCTTTCCATTACCATGCAACAAAATTGGGAGGGACGGGGGGGATGAAGACGGCACGCCACTTACATGACAATAAACGCAGGCTGCACCACGCTCTCAAACAGCCCCAGCAAAAACCGCACCACCATCAGCGACGGAAAGTTATTCGCCGCCGCCGAGCACGCCACGACGGCGCCCCAGCACCCGACGTTGAAGGCGAGGTACTTCCCGACGGGCAGCTTCTGGATGAGAAAGTTTGTGGGGTACTCGCCGACGAGGGCGCCCATGTAGAGCACCGTGCCGACCCAGTTGAACTTGTTGCCCTCGAGCCCCGCGTCCGGGATGATGCCCATGATGGACGCGAAGCCCATGGTGCCCTTGTCGAGCGTCTGGCAGAAGTAGGTGCCAAGCATGAAGGGCAGCACGTGCTTGTTGATGGCCCAGAAGAGGCGCTTGTTGGTCTCGTCGTCGATGACGACGGCCTCGCGCGCGGCGTATGCGGCCGTCTGTGGGGGTGCTTTTGTTAGAGCCGAGTGACGCCCTGCGAGAGAAGAGGTCGCAGTAGAATGGGGACTGGGGAGAAGGGCCGTGGACGCACCTCGCGGTCGACGCCATCGCTCAGGTCGTCGATGGACCGCTCCTCCACGGGACTGATTTCCTTGCCCATGGCGCCCGAAGAAACGGCAGATCACAGACTATCAGCTTCTCGCGCCGCGGGTATAATAATCGGTTCACCAAGGTCGGCAATGACACGCTCTGTCTGTCCGAATCGGGTCCAGGGACGGTCGCGATCCTATTACACCAGCCAGACAGACGGCTTTTGGATGTCGCACGAACGAGGTCAGACGAACAACCCAAAAGAAAAAGGTAGCAGCAGCACCATGGCAAAATATTACAACAAAGATGCTTCATATGTACAGCATCGCCGCCGCCGCGGGCCACAGTCTCGACCGCGTTCGGGCCTCGACGCGCGCGCCCTCGCCTCGCGGAGAGGGAAGATCCACGGCGTCCAGATCCCGAGACCGGGGCCGGGGTGTCGCTGCGCGGGAGGTGGGGCCGGACGCGACCCCTCGGCCCCAGGCCCGGGACTTGCTCCGGCGACCGCCCGCCCAACCCAGCGCCCAGCCTAGCTGCCCCCTGTTGTTGCGGCACACACGTTTTTTCTTCCTGTCAGATGTGCCGGACAGACCAGACATGACCGGCTCGTGGATGGAGGGGAAAGGCCAACCAGTCAGTCTATGCTCTATACTACGTAGCTGGTCGACAGTCGACACCCCTGCCAAGAAAGCGGGAAGCAACGCTGCGAGCGCCCGTCATGTCCATGTATGCTCCGTATGTGCCCCGTACTGCAATTCTGTAGTATGCATGCATGTCCGCGACTCCGCGAAGAAAAGAGTGCCTCTCGAGTCTCGACTTGTGAGTGAACGTGACGGACTGTTACACGGCGTACAGTATCGTTCCTCGTATAGAGGCCCAACGCCGCGCCGCGTCACACACGCGGGCGGGGACGCCGTATCAGTCACGGCGGCGCAAGCTATTGACATATCACAGTTGCCTCGTGCATACTGTACTGTACCTAGCACATTGCGGTAGGTAGTACGGACTTGACTGTACTGCGGCGTCGGCAAGGCGTAACTAACTGATAGGCAAGGCACAGATCGGGCATAAAAGTGGTCATAGCTCCGCGGCCAGCGCAAGGCGGAGTGCGATCCGACGGTTGACCCGTCCTCCCGCTCTGCCGCGCAGCACCGCAACAAAGCACGTTGGTGGCGTTTACGTCGAGGGCTGTTTACGGGCACTAGTTGAGCGTCTGCAGCTCTTCTGTGTCCGTCGCGACTGGATTGGATGACCCAGGAGAAGGAAGAAGCCAAGTACGGCGGCCGTGCGATGGCCAGTCAGCCTGCTGCCGCCCCGTCCATGCACCGCACCGATTACCATACCAAGAGATGAGACGACACGATGCGTCATACATTGGGAGTAGAGAATTAACAGGCTTCGTGAACTACGCTCCCACTTTTTTACATCCAAAATCGGTGAGCACAGGGCAGTCATAGCCGTGAGCTTCTCCCAGTTGCAGCGCTGAATCCCTCCAATGCCAGTATACCTGAATAAATCGTCGCCATAACTCTTACTTCGTGCTCCGTATGCTCATCATATGCGGCCAATTGACAAGGTATCGCATTTGCAGATGCAAAACAATCGTGGTACATGGCTATGGTCAGCCACCAAAGAGACCTGCAGAATCAGCACGGCACATACATAGCATGACAGTCATCCTCACAGGAGTCATACCAAAACGCCGCTTCATCCATCGCCCTCTTCAAAGTGGGAGAACATGCTGATCCGCTGGTCCGCAGGGTAGCCCAGGTCCAAGTACGAGTTCAGCACCTCAAACATGCCTTCACCCGTCTCGTATGCGGCCGACGTTGACGAGGGCCCGGGGTCACCCGCTGGCACACCATAAAGAGTGGACGGCTGCACAACCTGGCTCAGGTCCTTGTGTGCGGTCGATGGCTGATTCAATGTGGACATTTCAAGAGCTACCGGTAAGGGAGGGAAAGCCATGGACACTTTATCAGATGGACTGTCCTGCCGTGGCACCTCAGGAACGTGACAACACGTCGTCGACTTCTCAGACCACTGAATAGGTAAGCCAAGGTTGGCTGCCGGGTTGTAGTAGCCGTAACTGATGGCCTCCGGATGTTCGACATGATGTTGTTTCGGGCTTGCTGCCGGATCAGGCGTGACATGCACATCCGAGTATACCGCTTGGCGCATGTTCCCCATGTCAGGGACCGAGGTCCTGTCATCGAGCAAGCGGGATGCGAATTTGGAGGCCAGGTCATCGCAGGGCTTTGCCAGGCTTAGAGCTGCCTGTGATCCGTTCCATCGGCGAGAGACCTCCTGAAGAGCTCTGACCAGTGTCTCGAATTCCTCTGTGATAGGCGTGCCCGAGTACGCGGCATGGGTTATCAGCATGCGCCCGCAGACAAAGAGGCAGAACGAAAATTGTGGGTTCACTAGGAAATCGGTGCATCGCAGAAAGTTGTCAGTGATGATGGCCACCTCCTTGGCGGCCGTGAGACACGTCTCGGCGCTGGATGAGGACGGCAGGCGAAGCGGGATCGACTGCCATTCCGGAGATGGGTATGCGATGCATTGATGGAGGAGAACGACAGCCGTGTTGTGCGTGACGTGCGCCAGGATGAGATTGCAGTCCATGCTGCCGTCAGGGCCGCGGGCGCAACCTTCGCGCCATCGCTCCGGCAAGAATATCTTCCACCTGGTCGGGCGTTAGTGAGAGATGCAAGGTTTGTACCCATATTCCTATGCATAGATGGCATACGTATACCATGACATAACATGATATGACAATGAGGAATCTGGGGATTGCTTACTGCACCAGGCGGAGGTCGAGCTGCTTGAAGCGCATCAACCATAGCTCAAGCTCGTGAATCTTGGTGACGTTGACGGCCTGCTGGAGGAAAAAAGTAGTCACAAGGCTCAAGCTCTCGGTGGCCTCGATGGAATACGCGAAGCCGCCCAGCGAGTTCTGCGACTCGTGGTCGGCGGTTTCTGATCTCGGCGACGGCAGGGGGTCGTTGAGCCTGTCCGACTTCTCGGACACGCCAAAGTACGGCGTCGGCTCGGCCAGGGGCACGCCCTTCTCCCAGAGGCCGCCCTCGCATGGCAGCCTCCTCTTGACGTCGGCGCCGGTCAGTGACAGGTTCCATCCCGTGGCGATGCTGCAGAAGCGGTCCATCAGAAACGTGTTCCAGAAAATGCGCCGCTGCTCCTCGATCTCGGTCCATTCCTGGCACTGCGGCAAAAAGTCCATTCGCTTGATGAGGACCTTGGCGTCGTTTGTGCTCGCGTAGCGGTCTTCGTCCTCGACGCTCAGCCGGAGCTGCTCCACGGTGCGCGTCATGCTGCCGACAATCGACTGCAAGAGGTAGATGTGAGATGACTTGGCACGACTTGATGGCTTTCTGTCACACTTACCCATGCCGAAGGGCCACGACCGCTACCAATCTGTTGCTCAGGGTAAGCCATGATACCTGTTCCGCTAGGCCCGGGCTTTCACTCACCGTGTCAAAGGCGACTATTATCAGCGCCTGGAGGTTTCGCGCCGAAAAAGACTCCATGCTCTCCAGTATGACCCTCTGCCTGTGCCTCTTGGCCAGCTTGGACTTGGCCTCCGCGCCTCCGAGCCGGACATCATCGGAGAACCGCGCGCATATAGAGACGATGGCCGAGAAGATGGTGCGCAGCTTTGGGCGCATGCTCGGGAGGTTCATGTCCCTGCGAAACGTGATGGTGTGCAGCATCGGGATCCAGGGTTGGATGCGCGCAAAGTAGATGTCGACGAGTGCGTCGATGAGGTCTTCTGGAAGGCCCGGTTCGGCATCATCGACGCAAAGGTTTGATACGGGCTGAGCTGCCGCATTTTGTATGCTGTCAACCCGACGCCTCTTGGAGCTCGGCTCCTCGCATTCCCGCGCCGGCACGTCGTGCTCGCTGTCGGCCAAAGATGAGAGCAAGTGTTTCAGTCGAACCGCGCTATCGTGCATGTGTCCATTTGCTCGCTGTGTCTGACCCGTGGTACCGAGTTCAGAGGGTGCTAGGCGCATCTTATCCGAGATGGCGTCTAGGCATCGCCAGACCTGCTGCCAGAGCACGCCCTGTCCCATGAACATTTGCTCGAGGGTCTCTGGAGTGGATACTGTGAGTCCTCTTGACCGAATATAGGTGGCCGATCGGAAACGCACGTAGTCTCTGGTTCAACGACTCTATCGCGCCCGGGCGCATCCCGGGTTTGCTCTTCCTGTCATCGTAGACGCATTCGACTTCTGCGGAGCATGTCAAGAGTCTTGCGGCTTCCGAGGCTGATGGGACTTGACCAACTGTGTTTTACGCATTGAGAGCAGGGCATGTCTCGCGAGCATTTGGCCTTTTTCTTTCGACAAGCCTGGCACGCCGGTCCCTCCCGCTCGACCGGACCCTGCCTCGACGCCTCATCGCGGCTGCGGCGCGTCCGCTCATCGGTCGTGGAAGAGGCTGATTCATCGCCGGATTGGTACTCGTTGTTGTCCATGAGAGAGGGCGTGTAGCGCGAGCATGAGGCGCCGCACGCTTGGTGCATGTAGAAAGGGTCATTGTGGTCGCGCGTATGAGTTGCTACATCACCACCACCATCAAGATGAACAGCCACATGGCTGCTGGGCTGTTACCCCTCGCGGGCTCCCACCCTTGCCTTTTGGGCATATACCGTGCTCCCAGCGTGCTCCATGCATGCTCCATGCACACCACTGCCAACGGTACAAGTGCCCTGTTGGGGGAACAACGAGGCAGCAGTCGTTGGGGCCGCCCTCAAGAACCCAATCTGAGGGCATGCCCGCAAGTTCACCACCGCAGGGTTGCGGCTTACTGAGGCTCAAGTTGGACGGCCTGCTAACGGCAAGAGGTGATCACGCGGTGGGCACGAGCTCTGTTGGAGACTGTCCGGATGCAGAACCGTCAGTCGATAGCAATATTGATGTTGACAGCAGAGAGGGTGCTGCGGACCGACTTGGTCCTCGACCCTCCTGCCCTGCTTGCATGTCCAACGAGGCGAGGCTTCTCCCCCTCAATTGCGCATCTTCCATGATGGCAAGTTTGCGTCGCAGATGGTAATCGGCCGGTGCTAATGTAGCTTCGCCTGACGGTAGCTCGATCGGATATGCGGCCCACCTCCAGGTTTCACAGAGCAGTTCCGTGCAGGGGTCCGGTCGCGCGCGGATGACGCCAAGCGGCAGACGATGGATGGGCAGGGTGGCTTGGACGAGCGGCCGAGGCCAATCGTCGCGGCGCCTGGTGTCTGCAGCGGCGCCTTTGGAATCGTTACGTCACATGGGGGCGGATGCGGATGGTGAGATGATGGGATGAGGACGCTGGGCCATGCCAGGGCGAGACGGACGGACGGACGACCTGCATGCGGCATGCGCTTCGCCCAGCGGGCTGCATTGATTGACGTCGACGATGTTGTCGGGAGTGTGGCTGAGATGGAAGCGAGAGGGGATGGAAGGGTTCGGGCAACTCTGGCGGCTGGCCGACGGGAGGGATGGGAGCAGCTCCACGGCGGGCAGTCTCCAGCCAGCAGTTCAGCGCCCTGAAGACAGCGCAGACGCCGCGAAACGGCCCGCCTCGGCTGCGACCAGTTCCAATTGCCCGCAGTGGGCATTCCCCCCGTGGACACCTGTGCAGGTGGTGGAGGCCTGGTCCGCCGCTGCACCCACCCGCTGCAAGAGCGGACAACTTACCGCTGGAGTCCGCTGGAGTCGCAAGTAAGGCGTGTCGGCGGCCCCGGATCGGGCTCAGAACAGCCCGATGTGCCGTCGCCGCCCTGATCGTCGCCAGTTCCTGCCCCGAACAGACTCGCCTGGCCAGCTTTCCAGGGAGAATCGGTCTCCACAGCCACCTTCACCACCCACGACCACCGAGACGAGGCGGGCATGCGGGCTGCCGCCTTTCCGTGGTCGGGTGCTCTTGCTGTACTGGCTGAACGGGGATTTCCAGCGCCCGTCATCGCTAAACTTGAACTGAACTGATCACCCCACCACCGCCAAGGCCGGTCTTGGGAACCGGCGCCCATTCGATGCCACTTGATGCCGACTGATCTGATCTCACCTCCCGTCCCTCGTCCATTGTGATGCTCCCTCCCGTCTCTCCATCCAAACGCACCAAACTCACCACCACTTGCCGCTACCGCTGCTGTACCTTTTCGCCGCTTCAAAGTTTAAAGTCCGCCCGTTCCTCATCGCGCGCACGTCGTCTTTGTTTTTAGCCTTTCTCGCCCCCCCTTTCGTCGCTTCTAGACAACTGCAGCCACTGAGGCCTCGGTTCGTCTCGTGCATTCCATATCCTCAATCCCTTTGTCCTCACAGAGACCTCGCCCTCGAAGACGCCCCTCTCTCCTCGGCTCGTGCGCAGCTCAATTCATCGGACCCGTGGTCTGCCGAGGCGCAAGCCATAGCATCGCATTGCGCCGAACCTCGTTCCCCGTCACACTACGATACCCCGTGCCGCGACGGGACCAACCAACATACGACATCCAAGTCGCCCATCATGCCCATCCGCAACCCTTTTGCCCGGAAGCCCGGCGCCCTCGCCCACGACGAGAACCTGCGTCCCGAACAGGTCCACGGCCAGCAAACGACCCCGGGCTTCGAGCGCGTCGACACTGTCGGCTCCAAGGCGTCGTCCGTGCTCAGCATCCGCAGCGCCAAAAGCCACGACACGGGCGAGTACAAGATGAGTGGTGCGTGACCCTCCCACATCCCCTTCCCGCCCGTCCCGTCGTGCAGTTCCATCCGATGCAGGTGGCATTGGATGCTGCTGTTGCGGGGTCCTGCGGGCGCCGCCCTGTGTCACCAGACCAGCCCATGTTGACGCATGTCTCGGCGCAACAGTTGTCAACGACAGCGGTGTCTACCTTCCCGTAAGTGGTCAATATATCGTCTCGTCTGTCCGTCGCAGTACTGACCGCGAGCAGCCGTCTCCAACGGAGGAAAAGGGCCAATGGCCCCGCAAGTACCTGTCGTCGCGAGCCTCGTCGGACACGCGAAGCAGCTTTGGCGACATTGAGCACTTCTCCATCTCCCGGGAGTCCTTCGACTCGTACCGGCGGTCTTTTGTACGTGCAGCTGGTTGTTGGCTGTAGCTGCGGCTGACCTCTTTTGCAGGACATCTCGGCGCGATCGCCCATCACCGGCCACGACATGCCCACCCGCCAGAGTCTCGACTCGGCCCGCTTCCCTCGGCTGCCACGATCCGCCATTGACCGCCGGATGATGGAGCGCCAGCCCCCGACGGCCGAGGAGGGCTTTGAAGACGTCGGGCTCGACGACCACAAGCAGCCGCCCCGGAAGCGCGGCTTCTTCTCCAAGTTTGGCGACAGCCAAGACAAGGACGGTCACCTGGCGGAACCGTCACCCGTCTCGCGCTTCCTCATGCCGGTGCGCAAGCGAGGGCACAGCGGCCAGGGCTCCGAACTGGGCGCCATGGACCGCCCACAGACGGCCGATGGCCGCTGAGTTCTTTCGTCGGCTTTTCTCGAGATGGACGTCTATTACCTTGCTTGTTATTGTTCGCTTCATGGCACTTGATTCCCCTTTACACTGTTTTATTACCCGGACGGCGTTTTCAGGCGATACGATACGATAAAGACGCATTCGCTACGGGAATCATTGACTACGGAATAGAGTCAACTGGGCGGAAGACACTCGCTTGAAACGAGCACATGATGGGCCGGTCACGGATGTACATTAGGCGTGGCCGGGTGTGAGGATACATGGGAAGAAGGGGAAACAGCCGTAGTGACACGGCTGCGACGTGGCCGAGCGCACCACTCTGAGGTGTGCCCACGGCCCGGCACGACTTAATGATAATGGACTTTACTTGCTTGAGCCGTCGCGACGCATGAGCTTGCAGTTCGTCGTACCGGACACTTGCCGTGATGTCGCGCTTGGGGAGTCGTATATCACCCAGTGGACCCAACCACAACTCGGGGATGCTCGGCCGTTGAAACTTGAAACGCCACGCGCCAGCCCGCCCGCCTGCATGACCTTTGGCAAGCCGCGAACTCTGATTGAGTTTTCGAACCCGTTCGTTTTTTATCCTTTCTTGGCTGTCCCTTTCTACTTCTGTCCAAGTTTTATTTTTGTTTTCCCCAGGCCGGGTGGCTTGAAACAGCGTGCTGATGCGTGCGTGAACCCCCCTCTCAACGGCGGCCTTCCCGATCCCGGAGGCGCCGCCCGCCCCGACTCGTTTCCATGGCCCCGCCGGCCGACGCCCTCCCTCCCTNCCCCTCCGCCGCCGCCGCCGCCGCCGCCGCCCTCTGTCAACGGGCGGGGCAGAGGCCCAGCTCGAGCTAAAAACAAGCACCCAAACGCAGGGCACTTGGCATGCTAGGTAGGCACCTCAACGGTACCTAGCGGCAGTGCTGTGACTCTGTGAGTGCGTGCAGGTAGCTCAGAGCGCGCCCTGCGACCGACTCGGGTGGCCGATTTAACAAAAATTGTGGATAGAAAGCGGGCCCGGGAGGAGGGACGAGGAGCGACATCGCGGGAGCACGCACACCATCGCCGCCGCATTGAAACCGGCAGAAAGCAGGAACGCTGTTCCCTCTTTTTGACTCTGTTTTTTCTTCATCTTTGGTTTCACACACAACTGTGGTGATCTGGCTGCGGCTGTCTTGACCTGCTTACACCCTGCGGCGCGGGCTCACACACCTCGTCGAACCGAGACACGGCCAATATATATCCAACAGAGACAGCTCGAGATCACCTCGCCCACGATGCCCGGCGTGCCCACCACCGAGGTCGCCGGCCTCTCCCTCGCCTCCCGGACCGTCCACGGCGATGACCACATCTCCGCGCACCGGGCCGTCGCGCCGGCCATGCACGTCAGCACCACGTTTCGCTACAGCGATGACCCGGACCAGCTGCTGGGCTTTGATAACATTGACGTGCGTTCCCCCCTTCTCTCATACTTGTGGCAGCTCTCAAAGTTCCACGACTGACTGAGAAATGTGAGAATAAAGCCCGCGGCGCCGCTAGACTCGCACAGCTACTCGCGAGCGTCGGGCCCCAACACGACGCGCCTCGAGTCCATCCTCGAGTCCATCCTCGGGGGCCCTACGCTCACCTACTCGTCCGGCCTGTCCGCCTTCCACGCCATGCTCGTGCGCATCAACCCGCGCCGTATCGCCATCGGCGACGGCTACCACGGCTGCCACGGCGTCATCAAGGTGCTCGCCCGGCTCACCGGCCTGCAGCAGCTGCCGCTCGACTGCGACCCGTCGGAGCTGGGGCCCGGCGACGTCGTCCACGTCGAGACGCCGCTCAACCCTACCGGCGAGGCCCGCGACCTGCAGCACTACGCCGACAAGGCGCACAAGGCGGGCGCGTACCTGACCGTGGACGCCACGTTTGCGCCGCCGCCGCTGCAGGACCCCTTCGCCTTTGGCGCCGACGCGGTCATGCACCTGTCTCTTATACACATCTAGATGTGTATAAGAGACAGGCAGCACTACGCCGACAAGGCGCACAAGGCGGGCGCGTACCTGACCGTGGACGCCACGTTTGCGCCGCCGCCGCTGCAGGACCCCTTCGCCTTTGGCGCCGACGCGGTCATGCACAGCGGCACAAAGTACTTTGGCGGGCACTCGGACATGCTGTGCGGGACGCTGACGGTGCGGCCGGGGCTGGCGGACGAGTGGATGAGGGACCTGCGCCAGGAGCGCATGGTTCTGGGCTCCGTCATGGGCAGCCTCGAGGGCTGGCTGGGCCTCCGGTCGCTGCGGACGCTCGAGCTGCGCGTCACGCGGCAGAGCGCCACGGCCACGGCCCTGGTCGCCTGGCTGGCGGAGCAGGCCAAGGACGCGTCCACGGCGGTGGGCGCCGTGGTCGAGCGGGTGCAGCACGCGAGCCTGCAGCCCGAGGCGGGCCAGGAGGGCAGCTGGCTGCAGAGGCAGATGCCGCGCGGCTACGGGCCCGTCTTCGCCATCTGGATGAAGGACCAAGACACGGCGCGCAAGCTGCCGAGCCGGCTGCGGCTGTTCCACCACGCGACGAGCCTGGGCGGCGTGGAGAGCCTCATCGAGTGGCGCGCCATGTCGGACCCGGGCGTGGACAAGCGGCTGCTGCGGGTGAGCATCGGCGTGGAGGGGCTCGAGGACCTGAAGGAGGACCTGCGGCTGGGGTTCGAGAGCCTCAGGGCCAAATCGACAGTGTCTATCAACGAGAAGAAGTAAGGTTGGTCGGGGTTCGTGAGAGCCCTTGTGTCACGTCGAAGCGGGACGAGGTGGATAAAGCGTCCTGGCCGAGGAGGGAGACGGGGAGACGATGAAAGGGAAAGCGCATGACAGTTAGCCGCAGCATCGAATGAAGAGGGATACGAGGTACGAGTATTGCATAATGGGTATTGCAGGGTTTCTTGCTTGCGGTGACTTGACGTGGACTTGGTCGGCGAATGGTGTGCCGGGTCGTGATGAAGACACCGTGATGCAGATGCCGGTTGGTTAGAGCTGGCGATTGTGCCTTGCCCGTGTTCTTCGGTCCCAAATGCTTCGTATGCGGGTACAGATACGGCTATACGACTGCTTCGAAATACACGATGCATCCTGGGCACTCACTTTACGCGTGGATGACAGCAAGGCGAACGGGTCGCGGCCATTCCTACAGTCAGCGACTACAGGCCACTTGAAGACACTACCAGACGAAGACTGGAGTTGAGCTGTTGTACGAACCAAGTACATGATATGGGCAGCTAGAACTAAGGTACTATAGGTGAGGTGCTGTCTTTGGCGCAGACGGCAGCACGCTCAAGAATCAAGCTCAGGGACCGTTCCATCCATCCCCCCTGTCCCGGCAAAGGACCCCCCCAGTGGAGCCCGCACGCCCGCCGCCCTGCACGCAATGAACGGGGGTGGTTCTTGCCCACAGGATGGATTGGATGGAACTGAGGCGCGAGTGGAAAGGGAGCTGCCGCCGCCAGACCCCCTGACAATCTCCATCTGAGAAGCACCAACGTCAAGACCCATCGTCTCTGCCGACCGACGACGTCTCCTCCCTCCATCCTTCATTCAATCATCCGCTCCCGGCATCAGCACCCACCACCGCCGGCCGCCCCTGCCCCCATTCTTGCCGCCGCGCACGCGAGAACGAGGAACGGACGGACCGGCCCCCGGAGCATGCAATCGACCGGCGACGCGAACACGACGGCACGCGTGCGACGACGACGACGCTGACCTCGGAGACACACACACACACACACGCCCCCCCACAATCCCCCGTTCGAGAACCCCCCCGATCCGTTGATGCTCTCCACGTCTTCAATGCCCCGACTCGTCCTCTTCCGTCTGCCGACCAAGCTTCGGCGACGGGTCCGCCGCAACCGCATGGCCACGCTCGCCGCCCTCGCCGCCCTCTTCTTCCTGCTCGTCCTGCCGCTCTACTCCATCTACTGCGTCTACAAGCCCCCGCGCTTCCTCATCGGCTACCTGCGCGCCGTCTATCCCGATGTGCTCTTCGAGGTGACCACGACCGACAAGGTCATGGCCCTGTCCATTGACGACGCGCCCTCGCCGCACACGGACGACATCATGTCGGTGCTGCGCGACAACGACGCCCACGCCACCTTCTTCGTCATCGGCTCCCAGGTCGACGGCCGCGAGCCGACGCTGGAGAAGCTCGTCCGCGAGGGCCACGAGCTCGGCAACCACGCCATGCACGACGAGTCGTCGCGCGCCCTGTCCAACGACGAGCTGGAGCGCCAGGTCAAGCAGGTCAAGGAGAAGCTCGTCGCCGCCTACGACGCCAACCACAAGATCCTGCCCAACAACTACTTCCGCCCGGGCTCCGGCTTCTTCAGCTGGCGCATGCGCGACATGCTCGGCAACCGCGGCTTCCGCATCGTCCTGGGCAGCATATACCCCCACGATCCCCAGATCCCCTACCCGTCCACCAACGCCAAGCACATCCTGAGCATGGCGCACCCCGGCGGCATCATCGTGTGCCACGACCGGCGGTCCTGGACGGTGCCCATGCTGAAGATTGTGCTGCCCGAGCTGCGCCGGCGAGGGTACAAGATTGTGACGATAACCGACCTCGTCAAGGCGGCGGAGCCACTGGGCGGGCGGTGAATGTCGCCCGTGGGGCAAAGTGTCATGTCATGTCGTTCAACATTGCGTCTTGTTTAGGAGTTGGGAGCAAAACTGCATGGCGGAGTTGCTTTGAATACGGCTGGGGAAACACGAATGGTTAAATTCACCACTGGCGAGGACTTTTCTAGGGTAGCTGGGCTTGGCTGGGCTGGGCTTCGTGACGAGGGCATACCAAGGGACGTATCGCGCGACCGGATGGTACAGTATCAGGAGGTCGCCGGGCGAAAGGTCAGGTCTGCGAATGGGCGCCGGTACATTGGTATTGCATGTATAAAAGGGAAATCGCGAGGCTGCGGCCGAGGTGGTGCACGCTACGGGGGAGCGGCGGGCTGGGACGTCCAACTTGTTTTCTATACGCGGACCGCCGCCTCCACTGGAATCAATAAGCAGTCGAGATGGAAGACGGCCACGCGACAAGCACGGGACGAAAGCAGTCTAAGGTATACACACATGTGCCGGGCCGCAAGTATATCGATCCTTTGTGCACCCTTGTCGCGTCACGCAAACAAGCACGGTGCATGTCCAGATAGACTTTCGCAGCTGCATCGCGCCGACCTACATGACGTGCCGGATTCTAAATGTCCCGAAACCAAACGTCTATTTTGAGCAGCGCCTGATGTACAGTACTGTAATGAATCATGCAGATATCCAACAAAGGCAACACGTCCAGGCCATCCAACGGTACTGCTACTATACTATAACTACAAAGTACAGTATAACACCACCTGCATGCCTCCCTCCCCGGCCGTGCGCCGCAGCGCTGCGAACGGGCCGAAACATCCAACCGCCGGAGCTGCCTCCTCCCCCCCTCCCGTCCGGGGAGACGCGGCGGGGGTCCGGAGAGAAGGAGAAGCCAGTCACCACGTCCAGTCAAGGTCAAGGCTGATAGGCGCGGTAGGTAGGTACGCAGCAGCAGCAGCAGCAGCAGCAGCAGCAGCAAGAATACATGTGCCCAGTGCAGTACAAAGCCTCGCACATTGCATTTGGCGTCGTCGCCCGTGAGGCGTGTCTCGCCACGCCGCTGTTTGGCGGCGCCCAAACAAGTCACTGTGGTGTTACTACCTAGGTAGGTAGATAGATAGTAGGTATGTACGTTGCTACCGAGAGGTATACCGTCCTCCGCAGAACCTTAGTGGTGCCGGTGATCCCCTCCCCCGCCCGGGCTTCCTCATGTGACGCCCCAACCCACCCAGCTCAGTACCTACCCAGGTATGTATGCACGCCGACGAGCGCAGCACGCCCCCCCGCCGCCGCGACCGCATGACAACCTAAGGCAAGCACCTATCCGGTGGGCGATGGGTGGCGGCGGTAGCGACAAGTACGTAGTGGTAGTGGCCGTGGGTGCGTGGTGTGCATGCCTTGGTAGGTTGGCGCCGCCTGCACCCTCTGCCGGTGGCATCATCACGGCGGGGGTCACCCGCTGCTCGGCATGCTGCCAGCCTGCCATCTGCCACCCACGGGTCGCAGTGGTTAGGTAGTGGTGGGCTGCTGCCCGCGCGGAGGGACGTCGGCCGGCCGCGCGGAGGCAGCGCCGTGGATGGTGACATTCGCCCGGGGTGCCGTCTGCCGGCGGCGCCTCCTCCTTCCTTGGTCGGGATGGAGCCCAGGACACGCTGCGCGCGGGAACCTTCGAGCCCGTGTGCATCAGACCGAGTGCCGCTGACGTTGATGATTGCTGGCGCGCTCGCACACACAAGTCCAAAGCCACATCACGGCGGAGCGGTCCGACGCGTTCATACGGCAGGTACCTCGTAAAGTGCATGTAACTTGGTATGTACTCATTCACAGCCATCCAAGTGGCCGGCTCCAAATATCCACAGTCATAAAGGGAATTTACATCGTCAAACACGTATTCGTGTCCCCTGCAATTCCTCTAAAACGCCGCCCAAATCACCCAGAAATTGTCTGTGCCCAACGAGAGCCAGCCCGCTCGAGGCTGGTATCTGTAAACCCACTCATCTGCCGTGCCCGCTCCCAAGCTGAATAAGAGAACCCGTAAACCTCGACATGACCTATTTCGGTGCAAACTCGCGGAGCGTGTCCAGGGAATATGTACAGCTGAACTTTGACGCCAAGGCCGTCTTTGTACTTTTCACCGCATCGCCCCCCTTTTAGATCCACAGAGGAGCGGGCGGCACGGCGTTCCTCAGCTCGGGGAAGAACGACGCTGTCAGGCTCTGGATTGCGCCCAGGTAGTCGTCAGCGCTCAGCTTGACGAGCCCTCGCGAGTCGAGGTACTGCTGCTCCTCGTCGATGGTGTCCAGGGAGCTTCCGGCGCTGTACTCCTCTGCCAGTTCCGTCACCTGCGCGAGCTCCTGGCCGAACGGATGCTGGTCCTTTGCCATGAGTTGCTGGAACGATGTCGTTGGTGCCGCAGGTGGCGGCGGCGGAGGAGCGGCTGCTTGCTGCTTCTGCGCCGAGACGGGCGTCGACGTGTGAGAGGCCGACGATGCCCGAGTCGACGTCGACGGAGGACGCGAAAAGGGCTGCCCGGCCTTGGTCGACGTAGAGTGCTCAGAATCCCGCGACATGCGCGAGACGGAGCGAGATCGGGCGATGGCGTCGTAAGAGTTCTTCTTGGTGTGGGACGGAGACCGCTTCGGGATGGCGGGGGGAGGCGACACGGTGCCGCTGCGGTCCATCGTCTTGGCCGGGGCCTTGAAGTACGACGTCAGGTGGTTCGGGACGGGAGACGAGCACCGCTCGCCCGGGGCCACGTCCGGGCTGGTCGGGGGAGTCGTGTCGACCGTGGCGGAATCCGACTCCTCGTCCGACTTGGTCTTGGTGGAGCTGCTCCGCGAGGGCTTTGGCAGGTCGGGGGCGTTGTATGACAACATGTTTGTCGTGTGGATGAGCTGGACGGGGGCCGAGATCTTGTGGCGGAGGATCGGGCCTTTGGCGGTGGTGTTGCTTCGCCGGGGAGCATTGCCGTCGGCGTTGAGCTCGTTGCTCGACCGCTGGCGGCGAGTTGTGAATGCGCGCGCAAGCGACATGGTTGCTGTGTGAGAGGAGGATGAAGGCGTATTGAGGAGAAGAAGCCAGGTGTAAGGAAGGACGGATGCGAGAGCAGGCCAGTGCTCTTGACTTGAAATCAAAAAGGTGCGTTGCAACGCTGCACGTCACTCAAGGCCAAGGCGAGAGTGTGCGCGCGGTGGGGTCACGATCCGTCACCGTCAAGCGACGTCGAGGACCGGACGCAGACGGTCACGCCCGCGACTATAAAGGTGAGACGCGGTGCTGGAAGCGATATGCACCCCAGCCTGCCACGTTGGGGAACGTTGCAGACAGCCAGAGGGGAGTCGTGGTGGTTGCTGGTGGTCGCCGGGGGGTGGTCACCAGAGCGTCGGGCCTAAGGCTGAAGCGGGAAGGTGACTGAGGCGGACTGACTGAAAGTGGCAGCAGGTCGACCAGTTATCAGTGTGTGGGGGAAGCCCGAGAAGGACGCAGGCGTCTTGTCCGTCTGGCGTGTGGTGGAGGAACAACGACGACGACGAGCCTTGTTTGCTCACGAGACTGGACTGCCCGATGCAGTCGTCGCACCGCTTCTTGTCGATGGTTGACAGTGCCGGGGGCGGCGATGAGCCGGAAGCCGGTAGTTGGTTGGTACGGCCGAGTTGGCTGGTCGACTGGCAGAGTGTGCGAGTTGTGAGACACGGGTCGCCGGCGTTTGCTTGCGGCCAAGACGAGCGACGGCCTCGGATCAGAAAAAGGGTCTGGTCTCGCCCTCGGGGCAGGAATGCGTCACACAGGGCGACCGAGTGGCTGGAGATGCCACGAGATGAACAAGACGGAACGAAATGAAGTCGTTTGCGCAGCACGGGCCTGGGGAGATTGGGGTTGGGCCGAGGCGGGAGCGTGCGGGTGCAACAGAGGCGGAAATCTCGGTAAAGGGAACGGTCAACGTCGATGGCAGGCGATGTGTCTGCCAGTCTGTCTTTCTGTCGCACTTGGTATGTGCCGGCGGCGTGTGGGTTGCGTCAACGCAAGATTGAGACTGATGAAAATACTGAGAAGCGAATACTGTACGTCAAGGAGTGTCGAAGGGTGAGATGGCGCAGGCGACGGCCGAGAGAGTGACGGACGCGAAGCTGGGCGCGGGATCGCTCACGAACAGGCGGACGAAGAGAAACTGGTGATGAAGGAGAGGGAGGAAGAGGTGGCTCGATGGACGGAGAGGCGAAAGCTTGCTGCCGTGGGCGCACGGGGGGCGGGAAGGGCAAGCAGGAGCAGGACGCAGGAGCAGGACGCGGAGGAGGACGACGAGGAGGAGGGCGGATGCGCTTGTACTCCGAGCAGCTCAGGTACCTGGCGAAGTACACGGACGGCACTGTCCCCTCCCCTCCCACCATCTCGTGGATGTCAACTTGTACCGCCTGCACCTGCGCCTGCGCCTGCGCCTGCTGGTGACAGTCACCTCAGCGTGATGGGGATGGTGGTGGTGTCCTCCGCCGGTGGACCTTTCCGATCCTATCCTCGGCTCCACTTCCCTCCACACCTTTCAGGCCCGTCTTTGCCCTTTTTTCCTCTTGGGCGTCGCCGGCTGGCTGGCCTCGCTGGATCCTCCGGGGCGCGGACCCCTCACAGGGTTCGTCCCCTTGGCCCGTTATGGCACTCCCAAGCCTTTCAGGCCTCGCACGGCGCCCGGGAGGAGGGAGCACCCCTGTAGGGGGATGAATGGGGCGCGTGGGCGCCATCGCCAACTGGAGGGTGCCATGCCAGGCTCAGGCGATTCGCCAGGCCCTGGGCGCGGGCGGCCGACGGTGAGTGGTTGCTGGCTCCGACTGCGTCGACCGCTGAGTGGCCGCTGGAGGGAGGTGCTCGAGGGGGTTGCCGCCCTGCGACCGCGCCCCAACGAGTGGGCGGGATGGGCCAATGCATTGGATCGATCCACCTCGGCCGGCGAACCGCACGCTTCGCCGTCACGCACGCGCCAATCACAGGCCCTGGCGTTCCGGCCCGCCCAGGGGCAAAGCGTGCAGGTGGGCTTCTGCAGGTCCCACCGCGCGCGAGAAAAAAGTCTTTTTCCTCCCCCTCTTCTTTGTTCCTCCGGCGGGCGGCGGCTCGCCATTGCTTTTCCCCTTCAGCAGTTCTGCCATGCTTTTGAGTCGAGTCCTGCGTGCCGTGGCCTGATTCCATCTCTTGCGACAATTTCAACGGCCGGGTGCTGGACCGCTCTCCGCGAAGGAAAGAAGCAAAAAGGTATTTGGAGTAAACGAGGCTGCAAAATGACGGACAGAGCAAACAGCCGAGTGCAAGCAAAGCAACAGCCCGCGGATCATCCCGGTCGCGTCGAGGCGGTACGAAGTACAACAGAGAACTGCATGCCCTGCCGCAGGTACGAGTCCCGCCCGCAGGACGCGCAGGGCTGTCGAACAGTACCTCGTCCAACGCGATGCACCCGACTCGCCGTCGCTGTCGCCGTCGCCTTCGCGCTCCACAAGCTCGTGGCGCTTTGGTTTGGGTTCGCCCCCATCGAGCGACCCGACCGGCTGGCCGGTCAGTGCAGTGCTCACAAGCGCCTGCATGGCACGCCATCGCTTCACTGCTGGCTGCTGACTCTTGTTGGTCACGCCAGGCCCGACTCAGCGGTTCGCCCGTCGCCCAACTTTGCTGGCGCTTTCTGCGACCGACACGTAGGCAAGGCAGCTAGGTTCGGTACCAGGTGTACCTCGTACTCGCGCGTTTGCCTTGCGTCGCCTGCGCTCGTTTCGTTCGTGCGGTGCTCGTACGAGCAGCCCCAACATACCTCCCCCGTGCGGCTCGAACTGTGCCCCCGTTCAGACGCAACTCGCAACTCTGTTTATGGGGGCCTCTCCAGCAACACAGCACCGAGGCCGACCGCCGTCGTGGGCCACAGGGCACTGGACCGGCGAGGCTACCAGGAAGCGACCAGGCCCTGTCGCAGACTCGCCGACTATTGACCCTGGCCGGGGCGCCGTCCACAGTCCAGGCAGTGTCCTTCCTCGACTGGCCTGTTTGGCCGTGCGGTGATGGCGTCCACCCCTCCGAATGGGCTGCTTGAGAACATCACTCGCAGGCTGCCATTGGCCCCGTCGACTGTCCGCTCGGTTTCAGGCACCGGTACCTTGCGCAAGCGTGGCGCCAGTTGGGATCCCTGGCCCGGATCCCAGTTGATCGCTGCGATCCCATGCCAATCATGCCCCCGCAAGCCCGGCGCCGCCACAGGGGTCGCTCCCGACGTGAGACGACGGCTATCGCCAGAGGCAAACAACATGGCGACCGACCCTGTCCATTTCCTTATTTTTGGGACGAAACAGCGACTTGCCGCGATAGGCCGCCAGTTCCGTCTTGCTTGCGGCGGTTGCGGTTTGGTGAAGCCTCGCCTGGAAGGCCTTCTCTGCTAGCGCTTCCGAGGTTCCGCGCCGAGGACGTGGCCTGGATCGAGATGTCGGCGACGAGCCTCTGAACCGTCTCTCGTGCTACCGGCTCTCGACCGTCACTGAGTGCGTGGCCCTTTCCAAGCGCCAAGCCGGAGGCGTGGGTTTTCTGGACCCAGATCTGGCCCCAACGCCCAAGATCAGGACCCTCCGGGCGGCCATGGCTCTTTCGACAACGCGGCTGTTGCGCCGAAAAGTACCTGCGGCAAGGTCACTTATACGAGCGCTCGAGCGACGCAGGTACCTTCTCCGCGACACCAAGGGCCGCGAGATGCCCTGCTCCCTCCCGATCCCCGAGTTCGTCGCTGCTACTGCTTTCGTCCGAGGTGAACCGTGGTTCTTTGTTTGTTTTCGCACGTGCGCGCACGCATGGCCGAGTTTCGTCCCTTCTCCGTAATATACGAGTAGGCAATCCCACCGACCCCTCGTTTCATCTTCATGGAAAAGCATAAGGTGGCTCCTGGGCCACCCCAACTCCACGTGAGTGCGACCCTCCCCGGTTGTAAGCGGCAGCAGCATGTATACTCGTAGGCTCCGGACAAGGCAGTACCACGGGTCGCTCGTTGCAGGTCTGCTTCGCCGCAGGGGGGCGCGTGTCAATCTCGTCAAGGATCAATCAGTCGTGGAGGAGCCGCATGGCCCGCCCTCTGCTCTGATGCGACGACATCTTCAATTTACGTGAACGCACATACGCATGTACTTGTACTACCGGCGCACACGCGGCCCGTTCGCGTCGTCATCCTTCCCTCTCTATCTCACACAGATGCCACACATGTCATCTTGACGTCCCCTTCCGGCTTCCTCCCATATCCTTGGCATCGTCTGCGAGCTTGAAACAAACGTTGGCTCAATCAAGGCCCTGCGGCCAACCGACTACGTACGCACATATGTACTCCGTACATGCATGCGAGTACATACTCGGTTCTCCATACGGAGTATACTCATTCGGAGCTGCGCCGCACATCTTCTCATGGGCTCCGCGTGCAGGGGGGTTTGGTGTATCAAACAGTATATGCATGATCCACTGACGATCGTCTAATTCTGTCGTGCATTCGCCTACCGGCGTCGTTTGCGTCGACGGGGCTTGCTTCCAATGGCCTTTTGCTATATCCGGTCAGGGAAGGTCGTACGGTGCGTGCATGGCCCGTTGGCTAGTCCTCATCCATGGAGTCATCCTCGTCCTGCCCCGCGGCCGCCTCCACGCCGCCGTCCTCCTCCTCGTCGCTCGAGCTGCTGTCGTCGTCGTCGACGCCAATCAGCCGGTCCTCAGCCCCGTCCTTGGGCTCCGGCACCCTCTGCGCAAACGCCTTGCGGACCGACGAGTTCGTGCTCGTGTCCCAGACGTGCATGCTCCCTGAGCTGCCCGCGACGGCGAGCCGGAACGCCACCTCGGGGTCGGGCGCAAACGTCGTCGCGAACACCTTACCCACGTCGAGGTTGCGCGACACAACCATGGACGGGCCCGTCGGAGAAATGTTCCACAGCTTGACCGTTCGGTCGGTAGAGCCCGTGGCCATGAAGCCGGGGATGACGCCGTTGACATCAAAGGAGGAGACGGACTCGTCGTGCGCTTGCAGGGTCCAGACGGACTTGGTCGCCTCGGGCTTGGAAGGGGCATTTCGGATGTCGTGATAGTGAACCGCGCCGCCTTCCGTCGACACGAAGAAGAAGTTGGGGTCGTGCGGATCCCACCGCACGTTCTCGACGTCGCTCTCCACGCCCCATCGCGGCGCCTTTGCGTCCGGCGCGCGCATGTCGGCCGCGACAATCGTACGGTCGTAGCTGCCGCTCAGGAGGACCGTGGCCTCCTTGGCGTTCCAGGCCAGGGAGCACACCTTGTCGGTGTGGTACGAGTACGACTTGGCGCATTTGGCCGTATTGAGGTCCCAGAGCTTGACCGTCTTGTCCGCCGACGCCGACGCCAGCAGGTTGCGGTGCTGGCGGTTGGCGGCCAGCGACAGCACGGCGTCGACGTGGTACTCGTCGTTGGCCCGCTTGCCCTTCTTCTTTTTCTTCTTCTTCTGCTCGCCGGCCGCGCCTGCGTCCGGGTTGGCGCCCTGCCCGAGGATGGCGTTGGGGTACATGCTGTCGATGGTGTCGAGGTCCCAGATCTCAATGTCCGGGTCCATGGTGCCGACGGCGACGTAGTTGCCGCGGGCGTCCTTGTCGGTGCCGGCGTTGCTCACGGGCAGGTCGAGCCACTCGAGGCTGAGCGGGATCGCTGGCAGCATGATGTCGTGGTGCACGTACAGGTTGTCGCCGTCGTCCTCGTACACGTACACCTCGAGGTGCGCCATCTCGTCCTCCACCTTGGCCGACAGGATGAGGTTGTCGGTGGCCAATATTTGCAGGTCCTCGCGGTCCTCGTCGTCGACGTCGTCCTCGCCCTGCAGCGTGATGTACGGGTCCTCCTTGTTCGACTCGTAGTAGGCCAGCGACTTGATGTTGCCAAACATGCTCATCCCTTGGGCGCTGCTTTGCGCAGGATCTTCGTCGTCGTCGTAGTGCTCCAGATCGTACTCCTTCAGGTCGTCGTCCTCCTCCTCGGCGGCGGCGCTGGACAGGCAGGGTTAATGACTTGCAGGCGCGCACTCGTCGGGGCGAGCCGTGTCTCACCTCTTCTCTTTACTCGGCTTCTCGTCCTCGACCTGCATCTTCTCGTCGGCGATATCCTCGCTCGCATCGTCGGCGCCGTCCTCCTGCGCCTCCTTGAGGTCCTCCTCGGCGTCGTCGAGTTGCAGCTTGGCCAGCTCCGCTATCCGGCCGTACTCCTCCTCGTCGAGCGTGTACTTCTTGGGAAAGGGCGCCGCGAAGCCGCGGGGGACCCATTGGGCCGCTGTGATCATGGACATGGCGGGCTCGTGCTGGGGTATCAGAGGGTGAAGTCTTCAACGCCGTGCTCGAGCCGGGCACCTTGTGTTTGGCTTGGGCTTGTCGCGACCGCCAGAAATTCTTCCTGCGCCGTCCCAAAAATTTCAGGTGGTGGGGTTTATCGATAAGGCGCGTCTCCAAATTGGTCGGGAAAACCTCGCCGCCAGTGAGTGACGCCGAAGCTCCCAGCGCCCCAGCATCATACTCCTGCCCACCCGTGGCTCATTTCCCTTCTGCCAGCTCGGCCCTGCACAACATCCGCTCGCACTTCAGGGTCGCGCAACGATGGCGGGCGACAGGGAATACGATGGGTTCAACCCCAAACGGCGGAGGCTGGACTCTGCGCGACCGCAGAGCCGCTTCCAGAGCGGATCGCGAGGCTCGACACCGCGCGCGCAGTCGCACTACGCGCCCACGCCGCCGCGGGAGACGGACAAGCCCGAGCCGACAGACCAAGACTCGCTGCTGCTGGATCGCGACTGGTACGGCGGCGATGAGCTCGGCGGACACACGCTCGGCGACGACACCCACAACCCATTCGCGTCCTACGAGACGTCGGCCTGGGAGAGCCAGCAGCAGGAGTCGGCCAGGGCAGAGAAGATGACGAGCCGTTACGACGCTAGGCAGGAGCAACGACGGAAGGAAAACGATGCATGGGAGACGAACAGGATGCTGGTGTCGGGCGTCGCTCAGCGGCGAGACATGGCGTCCGACTTTGACGACGAGGAGGCGACCCGCGTTCACTTGCTGGTGCACGACCTGCGCCCGCCGTTCCTCGACGGCCGCACCATCTTTACGAAGCAGCTCGAGCCTGTGCCCGCCGTTCGGGACTACCAAAGCGACATGGCCGTCTTCAGTCGAAAAGGAAGCAGGGTGGTCAAGGAGGCGCGCCAGCAGCGCGAGCGACAGCGACAGGCGCAGCAGGCGACGAGCATCACCGGCACGACCCTGGGCAACATCATGGGGGCCAAGGAAGAAGACGGAGACAGCGCCTTGCCCTATGCCGCCGAGGAAGAGGCGCAAGCCAAGAACGAGAAGAAGGGCAACAAGTTCTCGGAGCACATGAAGAAGGGGGAGGGCGCCAGCGACTTCAGCCAGAGCAAATCCCTGCGCGAGCAGCGAGAGTTTCTGCCTGCGTTTGCAGTGCGCGAGGACCTCCTGCGCGTTGTTAGGGAGAACCAAGTCACCATCGTTATTGGTGAGACGGGCTCTGGAAAGACGACGCAGCTGACACAGTTCCTGTACGAGGACGGGTATGGCCAGACTGGCAAGATAGCCTGCACGCAACCGAGACGCGTGGCTGCCATGAGCGTGGCGAAGCGAGTTGCGGATGAGATGGAGGTGCGACTGGGGAGCACGGTCGGTTATTCGATCCGATTCGAGGACGTCACCAGCGACGAGACGGTCATCAAGTACATGACGGACGGTATTTTGCTGCGAGAGTCGCTCAACGAACCGGACCTCGACCGATATTCGTGCATCATCATGGACGAGGCGCACGAGCGGGCTCTCAACACGGACATCCTCATGGGGCTCTTCAAGAAGATTCTGCAGCGGAGACGAGACCTGAAGCTCATCGTCACGTCGGCGACGATGAACGCCAAGCGCTTCTCCGACTTCTTTGGCGGTGCCCCTGAGTTTACGATCCCCGGAAGGACGTTTCCGGTCGACGTCATGTTCCACCGGTCGCCCGTCGAGGACTACGTGGACCAGGCCGTGCAGCAGGTGCTGGCCATCCACGTGTCCATGGACACGGGCGACATTCTCGTCTTCATGACGGGCCAGGAGGACATTGAAATCACCTGCGAGCTTGTCCAGAAGCGTCTGGACGCGCTCAATGACCCGCCGAAACTCAGCATTCTCCCTATTTACAGTCAGATGCCGGCGGACCTACAGGCCAAGATCTTTGACCGCGCCGCCCCCGGTGTGCGAAAGTGCATCGTCGCGACCAACATCGCAGAGACGAGCTTGACGGTGGACGGCATCAAGTACGTGGTTGACGCAGGCTACTCCAAGATGAAGGTGTACAACCCCAAGATGGGCATGGATACGCTGCAGATTACACCCATATCACAGGCCAACGGCTCGCAGCGGTCAGGCCGTGCAGGCCGGACGGGGCCCGGCAAGGCGTTTCGGCTGTACACGGAGAAGGCGTTCAAGGAGGAGCTGTACCTGCAGACGATCCCGGAGATCCAGCGGACGAATTTGTCCAATACGGTGCTGATGCTCAAGTCTCTCGGGGTCAAGGACCTCCTTGACTTTGACTTCATGGACCCCCCGCCGCAAGACACCATCTCGACGTCCATGTTCGACCTGTGGGCGCTGGGGGCGCTGGACAACCTGGGCGAGCTGACGGAGCTGGGCCGCAAGATGAGCGCGTTCCCGATGGACCCGTCGCTGGCCAAGCTGCTCATCACGGCCGAGGAGTACGGCTGCAGCGAGGAGATGATTACCATCGTGTCGATGCTGTCGGTGCCAAACGTCTTTTATAGACCCAAGGAGCGGCAGGACGAGGCGGACGCGCAGCGCGAAAAGTTTTGGGTGCACGAGTCGGACCACCTCACATACCTGCAGGTGTATTCGGCGTGGAAGGCCAACGGCTACTCGGACGGGTGGTGCATCAAGCACTTCCTGCACTCCAAGTCGCTGCGGCGGGCCAAGGAGATCCGGGAGCAGCTGCTCGACATCGTCAAGATGCAGAAGATGCAGCTCAACAGCTGCGGGATGGACTGGGACATGATCCGCAAGTGCATCTGCTCGGGGTACTACCACCAGGCGGCCAAGTACAAGGGGTCGGGCGAGTACATCAACCTGCGGACCAACGTGGCGGTGCAGCTGCACCCGACGAGCGCGCTGTACGCGGGCCACCCGCCCGACTACGTCGTCTACCACGAGCTCGTGCTCACGTCCAAGGTGTACGTGTCGACGGTGACGGCCGTGGACCCGCACTGGCTGGCCGACCTGGGCGGCGTCTTCTACTCCATCAAGGAGAAGGGCTACTCGGCGCGCGAGAAGCGCATCACCGAGACCGAGTTCAACCGCAAGATGGAGATTGAGGCCAAGATGGCCGACGACAAGCGCCGCGAGGAGCTGCGCAGGCAGGCCGAGGAGGAGCGCGCCACCAAGAAGAAGGCGGGCGCCGCCGCCGCCGACGGCAAGAAGTTTGTCACGCAGGGGGCCGTGAAGAAGCCCGTCATCAAGAGACGGGGGAGGGGCTTCTAATGAGTGTGATGGTGTAGCAGCCGGGCTTGTATATATATATGACTCTACCTATGCCCTCTGTGTAGCAACGGTGCAGCAGCGTTTTGATTTAGGCAACGGCGTCGATCGAACTGCGCCGCGCATTTGGAATAGACAAGACATGATGACGGATACTGTATTGCTTGCTGCTGGGCTCTATGCCCTCAAGTCTCAATGACGCACCGAGAAGCTCGTCTCGTCCTCCACCACCGCGCGGTCCTCCTTGGTGAGCTGCACGACGCGCGCATGCCGCGGCCCATCGTCCACGTCCTTGAAGAACTTTTGCAGCGCGTCGTCCTCGCCCTGTGCCTCTCCCTCGACCTGCTCGCGCACGCGCATCGAAGCCCGGTTAGCTAACGTCTGGTCTTTCCCCACCGTCTGGAGTACGGGCACGAGGTACACGCGCTGCTGCTTGTGGTGTCCCCGTTCCCGTCGAGTGTATGACGACGAAGACGTAACGCATCGCAACGTGAACGTAAGGTAACGTACCTTGTTGTCCGTCGTGTTCCTGCACCAGCCCGTCACGCCGTACTCGCGGGCCTTTTGCCTGGTAAAGTACCTGCAGCGGCGCCCCCGAAAAGCCATGTTAGCCAGCCAGTCAACCTATTACCTCGAAGGGCCACTACGTAGATATATAGAGTAAGGAGTGGCCCGGACGATTTGATTCTTGAGAGATGTCGTCTGCAGAGGGGATGAGAGACGCACCGGAAGCCAACGCCTGCAGAGGGTGGTGGCACAGGAGCCTGACGTCAGTTTTAAAGGTCTTACAGCAGCGCAAGGCGAGCAAGCACGCAAGCACGCAAATCGCCACAGGATGTCAATGGGGTTATATTGCTGTTACTGACCCTGCACGACGCCGCCGTGGGCGACAAAGTAAAACTGCGGGCCAACGGACGTCAGAGTCTGGTAGGGGGCGTCATGGGCAGTAGACTCAAAAAGAGGGTTAGATTGTTCATACCCGTTGGGGCATCACGGTGTGGTTTGCCGTGGGCGTTGGAAGGGGAGTTTTGGAGATGCGAGGTTCAACCCGGCCGGAAGGTGAGACGTTAAGTTAGGCCCCGGCCATTTGCTATGGCGGGGAGGTGGATGCCCTCCCGTCATCATCATGATGTACTTCGTACCAGTGTAGGCAGGCACCTTGGATAGGTAGGTAAGCAGGACACGCGCAAGCTCCGAGCAGTGCATCCAGTTGAGGATCCCGAAATTGACGCTTCGCAGTTAAGGATGGAAGCATCCCGTTGCCATTCGCACGTCCAAAAAACAGAAGAAAAAAAAAGAAGAAAAAAGCCTCGCCTCATGTTGGTACACGAGCGGCATCGAGGTCGTCGCACACGTGCGAGCCGTGTGCCGCATCTCAAGATCCCGCCCGTTTCCGCGGGGTCAAGGTGCCCGCCGCCCAGATGCCCTCCACTGGGTCGGCGTACGGGGTGGACGGTTAGTTAGTGCGAGCTGTTACAGCAGCGGCTGCGGCGGCGGCGGCGGCGGCGGCTGGAGCAACCTGGAACAGCCCTGGACAGGGCACTCAGCCGCCCCCCAGTACGAACACCCGTGAGGTCGGGTGGATCAGGGCACCTGGACACTCGGCAGGTGAGGTGAGGCTGTAGAACGGTGCCCAGTAGGTACGTAGTACCCACCGGACGGGCAGCCTCCAGGTATCAGGCAGCCAGTCCAAGTCACCCCGGGCCGTCTCGAAACGTCAACCTCGGAATTCTTCACCTCTGGCCAGCCATCACCACCGCCACGCATCCATCAACACGCCTCCCCGACGTCCCATCCACCGTCGCTCGCGTCCACCGCACTCGCCCATGGCAGCACCATAGCCCGGCCCCTCTCCAGGCGCCGCTCTTTCTCTCCAGTCTGCTACTCGCATCTCACGTCTTCTCACAGCCGCTCGACGCCCGCGCCGCGCGTGCCCGCCCGCCATGGCGGAGGAAGCTTCACCAGCCGGCGCCGCCCGTCGTCCCGAGGACGCCGCGCCCACCAAGCCCGAATCCGAGCGCGAGCCCGAGACCGTCCGCTTCCGCTCCAAGAAGCGCAAGATCGGCTACCGCCAGCGCGCCGACGACGACGATGACGATGCCGCCCCCGTCGCGCCACGCAGCACCACCTTCACTGCCACCAGCGACGCCCCTCCCAAGGCCGACTCCGCGAGCCCTCGCCCCGACGCGCACGACGCCGCGCCCGCCTCCTCGTCCTCCTCCTCGCAGGAAGAGTCCGCCGTCGCCGCCGCCCTGCGCCTGCGCAACGCCAGGAGAGCCCGCCCCCGCGTGGGCGTCGGCCTCGCGTCCTCGTCGCACCCCGCCGACGAAGGGCCCGGCTCGTCGTCATCGCGCGGGCTCGTCCCCCGGGGCGCAAACGCCGAGGCCGACGAGGATGCCAGGCCGTCGCTGCGCGGCATCGGCGACCGCTTCACCCACCAGACGGGCCTCGTCGCCTCCCTCAACGACAGGCACATGTACGTCTCAGCCTCAACGCCCGGCCCGGCCCCCCGAAAGCCGTCCCTCCCTGTCCGCGTGCTAATCATCTAAGGACCGAATATATAGAATCCCGCCTGTCTAGCCGCACCGCGCCGTCGCAAGGCTCCGCGTCGCATCCACTCGACGGCGAAGAGCCCCACCACGTCCCGTCACGTACCGGCCCGTCGTCGTCCATCAAGGCCGTGACGGAGCAGCCGGCCAAGCACGGCAAGCTGCTCGAGGTCCAGGTCCCGGACAGGGTCTGGGACCGCCGCGACGAGGCGCAGCGCCTGCGCGCCGAAAAGGCCGCCGCCGCCGGGCCTTCGTCCAAGCCGCGCCGCGGCCGTAACAGGCGCGGCAGCGACGACATCAAGCGCGACCAACTCGTCGAGCAGTTTCTCCACGAAAACAGACGTACGTAATCCATCTTTGCCCTACCCTTCTCTCTCCGCACCGTCCCGAGAAGCTAACATTCGCACCTTATCAGTGGACGTCTACGACGTTCCCACCCCTGCGCCGCCGCGGCCCTCCGCCCCCGGCGATGACACCTCTGCCGACGACCGCATGGCCGAGCAGTTCCGCCAGCAGTACCTCGACGAGATGGCCCAGCGCCGCCAGCGCAAGCGGCCCGCCCAGCCCGCCTCGCGCCAGCAGCAGCCCCAGGGCGACGTCCTCAAGGGCCCCAAGCTCGGCGGCAGCCGCAACCAGCGCGCCGCCGTCCGCGACGCCCTGCTCAAGCAGGAAAAGGAGAAGGCGGGCAAGAGGTTCTAGATGTCCCGAGCAGATCCACGTCTGCTCAGGGCTCCAGCCCGCAGGATTGGATGGTTGGTTTCGCAATGCAACAGTCGCAGCCGTGTTCACAGACAAGAGACGTTCGGTAGAACAGCATGTACTGCCCGCCGGCCGGGAGGCACAGCCTAAACTTTGGTTACTACGCACCGCGTCACACGCTGCACCGCATCAAGATCATCCCACCCGTGAGGCGCACGAGGTACCTGAAGCATTCGTTCATTGCAATACGTAGTGACGCACCCAAACGAGGCGTGAAAAGAGACGTTACGGCATCCATAATTAGACTGTCCTCAGCCACGACCCAATGGAGTGAGAAAAAGAATCTCCAGCAAGCATCCAAAGAACACCAACTCAGGCAGAGGAAAAGATCTGCCCTATTCAAAATACCCAACCAGTGCAGTGTTGTCAAAACCAATCTGAACGCCAGTATCCAAAGCAGCCACCGTGTAGATGAGCGGGAGTAGAACCTACCATATGTACTTTCGTACCGCGCAAGAGAGAGAACCGACCGGCCAGCATCAGCCATGGTGTCCGTAGCGAAATGAGTGCCTCTGGATGTGCTGTGGAACGGTCCGAAACAAAGTCGAAGGCGTGTCGCCCGGTGTAAAATAAAACGTGCGCGAAAACAACAGCAACTGTATCGTGATGCCGTCCGGGGCGCCAGTGATGATGCTAAAATTGTGTCCTTTTTTTGTCGTGCCTTTTCGTTTCGACATCGGGAAAAGCAGGCGAACATGGACGGGAGAAAACGTATCCTAGAAGACGGTCATATCACCTAATTTCGAGCTGAAAAGGCTTGAACCGGCCGCCGATGGTAGCACAGCGGGGACATTTCCTATGCGCTCCCTGCTCTGCCATGAGGACACCTACACAGGTAGAACACAGCCCACAGATGCACTCGGTACATGCGTACGAGTTCTTGAGCTGTGACACTCCCTGGCAGGCCGCGCAGTAGATCTGGATGTTTTGCGAGGAGCCGTAGCTCGGCGATGATTCCGAGAGTCCCTGGGAGCCCATGTGAAAGGTATCGCCACTCTCACCGCTTTCCACTGACGGGAAGGGTTCGGCAACATCCTGGTTGAACGACGGGGGCGTGAGCGCCTGCTGCAAAGGAGAGGCCTGGTAGCTCGCCGGTTGCACTGGCTGCGGATGCTGGAACGGCGGCAGAGAACCTCGCTGGATGGAAACGGGCGATTGAGGCACCTGCGGGCGATACTGTCAGGTTCTAGAACACCACAAGGGACGTTTGGGCAATTGCATCAACTTACTGGAGTGCGGTCGTCCAGGTCGCCGGCGGCGGAAGCGGCGGCAGCATCAATCAGGTCTGCCCAGCGCTTATCGCGGTCTGCCGACGGTTCCGCAGACAAAGCCTTCCGGTCAAAGCCACCGTAGCGCGGCGGCTCCTCGTTCTGGAGCCGGCGGAAGAGGTCAATGTTCTGCCCTCTCGAGTTCTTTTTCTTGTGGTGAGGCTCGCGGCCGCGCTTCGAGACCGACTGCTTTCGAGGGCGACTTTGGCCGAGTGGTCGCTGCAGTGGGGGCAGGGTTGACGAGCGGCCGGGAGGCGAATGTGCCATGAGCGACGGGAGGATTTCGCGTGGCCTACCGCCAGAGAACGGATCGCTGGTGATGTCGTTGTGAGACAGATTGAGGGGAGGCAGCTCAATCGAGCTTCGAGGAATGCGCCGCCCATCCGAGTCCGAATAGTAGCCCTGGAGTCATGGGCCAGGCCCAAGTGTCAGCGGTCGGACGTTCATCGCAGGGCTGAGCCCATCGGACGCTATCGATAGGACCAGCGGGGGCGGGGGGGTCATACGCCATCCATGTCAATGTCTCGCTCAGACTTGATGCCGTGAAGCTCGGCGAGAGCTGCGGCGGCGCGAGCTGCCCCCAGCATTCGGTTACCACCACTTGTGGTGTACTCATCACTATGGCGCGGCGTACCAGGGTTGCTCGGTGTGTCACGATAGTAATTGCCTCTGTCGTTGAGGCCTGTCGCGGGGGCCAGGTCAGCTCACCATTCCATCAGCGTGCTCGGGACGGGGGCGACCAACTCTGTCCGGCAGATGATGGGGGTTGGTCGTTGCGGCGCTCCTGGGGCGGGGAGCTGATCATGAGCAGGAAGCTCTCCTCGGTCGCGGGGAGCTTGGGGATGTAATGCTCAGGATGGGCGCGGCGGATATGCTCCTGCATGGAGCGATATCGCTTTTCCTGTGCGACGAGTGAGATGGTCAGTGACCTATTGGCAGCCGCATCGGGACACGAAGAGCAGGAGCCGGCGTCATTGCAGCTGGAGCTGAGCACGTCGTGGCCAGGGCACGAGGGCAGCTGAGCTGATACGGCGCCAAGGGAGGAGCAGGCAGACTCACGCCGACACATCGCTTGCGACAGCTGGAGCCATCTTGATTGCGAAGAGGGCAGACGACTTCGTTGGTAGCGTCTGTGATTGAGAAGGAAGATGTCAAGGACGAGCGTGGCGGCATCTTGACCCCACCATGCGCTGGAGCAGGTCGGTGCGGGTGAAGAGGCGAGACAGCTCCGACGCGGGTGCTATGTGATTGAGTAAGGCGGTCGGTCAATTGGGCAAGCAGAAGCTGCGGAGAGCTTTCGCATCGCAAGGCGGCGACGTTGCCCGGGAGAATGCAGCGAAGCCGGGATTGCCGAGTACGATGAGTTGGCTGAGGGCGACCGAGGTGTAGGTGACGGATGCAAGGAGCACGACTGCGTTAAGTGAGGGCGGCAAAGGGCACGTCGTCGTCGATATTTGCAGAGGTGGCTTCCGAAATGCTGCACGGAGAGTTTAATGGCCAGGAGACCTAGGGACTGCTGGCTGCGACGGACAAAAGGCAGAGTGTGCGTTCGCGCCGGGAGCCGGGGGAAAAGGTTTGTGTCGATGCAAGGTCAAAATGGAGGCTAGGTGGATGGCGGCGTAGAGGGAAGAGGACGGCGACCACGAGGTGTATAAGCGGGCGCCGAGAGCTTATGTCAAGCAAGCTCAGCAGCAAGGCAAGGCAGGTAAGGTAGGTGAGGTAGGTAGTAGCGGGCGCCTGGTGCACAGCACACACCTCAGCACCTACCTGGGCACCTGTCAGGACTCAGGACAGCACAGGACTGGAGCTCCGCCTCCCCCGTCTGGGTTTGAGACTCGAGAGGGTCGGGGGTCCTGGAGGTGCCGCACAGCGCAGCTCGTGTGCTGGTCGATGCCGGTGCTCTCCGCACCTTGGGTTTCGGTACGTAGGGAGACCGCGACGGCCGGCTGGCTGTCCGGTAAATACCTTCGAGGTAGGTAGGTAATAAGCGACGACGGGTTGGCCGAATGGAGATGCGCCCACGTTCGCCTCTGCAATGCGGATGCGCCGCTGCGCTATGTGCTGTTACCTCCACGAGGGACAGCCGCCGATGGCCAGTGTCGAGTGTTATCGAGCCGCGCAGCGCCGGATCGAATCGCCTAGCCGATGGCAGACGGCAGACGGGCAGATGGCGAGCTGTCTCGTGGGCCTGCCGTCTCAGGTCCTATGTGCGACAAAAGGGAACGGGCGCAAGGGCGCTGCGAGCTGCGCAAGAGGCGGCCGTCTCGATCACGTCGCCCGAGCTGGTGGGGGAGAGGCGAGACGAGGGGCTGCTGATCCGTGAGTTGGCGACGTGAGGCGGCGACGGCGACGACGACGGTGAAGGACGAGATGCACCCTGCGGCGCCGGATACAAGAGGAATGCGGGCGTTTTACAGTAGAGCCACGAGTAGACGACAGGCGCTGGCGGTGCTGCACCTACTGTTGCTGCTGCTACCTGTCGCCGCCGTTCGCCGCCGCCGCCGGGACGGGATGGTTCAGGGCCCTCGGTGATCTGCTTCCCGTCCACTACCACTCGCTAGGTCGGCTCTGCGGCGCCTTGGGCGCTCATCTGACTGGCACCAGCGCGGCAGACCCCCAGCGGAGCGCAGGCTAGCTAGTGCCTCCGACCCTCTGACCCTCTGACCCTGCGCCAAAAGTGACTGACTGGCGAGGAAGGGCCGCCGGAGGGGTCCGGCCACGTCCAATGGGAAGCTCGGAGATGAAGCTCTATGCGGGCGGCGGAGCAGCCAGAGGTCCCCGCCACAAGCTTGCCATCCATCCATCCATCCGTCCATCCACCCCGGCGACGTCGTTCTTTTTTTTTTCTCTCTCTTCCCTCTCGCCCCCCCCGCTAGCGCGCACGAGACGAGACCCCAAGCGTCCCGTCCGTTCGTCGCTGGTGCCGGCGGCCTGGCCAAGAAGGCTGGAGCAGCCTGGAGCTTGCAAGTCAGGTCCAGTGGCCAGAGCGCCGGCGAGGCGTCTTACGCTGGAGCACGGCCGGCAGCAAGTCACAGGACGAGCCCTCGGGCGCCCACTGACTCGGAACGGCCGTGGTGGGGGCGCATGCCATGCCTCGGGTCGAATCAATTGCTAGTACAGACCGACAACGAGTCGGCGACCGAACTGGAAGACTTTTTCTTCCTGCTCCATCCGGCTTGTCTGTCAGTGGATGGGACGGGATGGCGTGGGTGCCCGCTTGTGCTTGTGGGCGGCATGGCGGCTGGCAAATGCTTCGGATCCCAAAAGGCGGCGGGGAAAACGATGCGGGCGCAGGATGGATGGCAGGGTCGCACAAACGAGCATGGAGAGCTCCAGCGGTCATGCATGCCAGCTCTCCCCAGCTCCGCGACCGAGTTCCCAAGCATCTGTGTCGTCAGCTTGCGAAGCTCCAGCTCCATCCGGTAGGTGGTGTGTGGCAAGGGACCAGGGTGGAGGGCGTGGCAGGAGGGGCAGCGCCCATGTTTCTGGTGGTACTTTGCGCAATCGTGGCGGCAGTGTGGGCTCGGTACTGGGTGGAGCTGGAAAGCTCCCTGGTACAAGGTAGCATCCTGGCGTGCCTCGCCTGGGGGAAGGAACACTCGTGACGGACGGACGGGGTTTTTGGGGGAGGGGGAATTGAGCCCCCCAGCCCTTGAGACGAGCACTGGCGGCAAGGCGGTCGCCGCCGTTGGAAGCGGAGCTCCACGGGCCTGCTGCAGCTCAATGATACCTGAGCTAGGGGCCGAGCTGCTCATGACGTCTGTCCGCCTCTTCTCGTCAACCCGACCTGCCGCTGCATGCAGCCGTCTGCATGACACAGGATAGACTCTGGAGAACGGAACCCTGCGCGCAGTTGATGATGCGATAAGGTAGGTACCCTTGGTACCGCCAGCCCGAGGCTCGATTCCGCATTGGGCCTGACCTTGCCCCATCGGCGGGCCCGACAGAGGGTGAGTGTGAGGGTCAACCCGCCACCTCTTGCAAGCTGTCACCGTCGCCCCCGGTTCGAGCGAGAAGCCAATGGCAGCTAGAGCGTTTCCGGCCCGCCGTCAGCTTGCCCGTTTGCCCACGAGCCGGTCTGGCCGCGGCAACGGGGCCAAGCTTTGCCAAGTACTGCAAGACTCTGTGAGCGGGTGTCGACGATTGCCATGAATCAGGGGACAAGAGAGAGAGGTGAAAAAAGAAGAAAAATTCGTTTCGCGTGCCACTCCCAGGAGCCTGCCTGCCTCCGCGGCTTCCAGCTAGAAACGGCGCGCGCCAATGCGTCCAGACCGCCCCGGGCGGCAATCCTGAGGACGGTTCGCGGCTGGAGGGGGCGTCCAAGGGGCAGTCGAGGTGGCATTGGCGGCCGGGCGTCGCACTACCACGCACACTGACATCACTCGCTTGGACCGCGGCGCCGAAGAGGACGGGACTCGAGGAGCCTCCCCTCCGTCCGTCTCTGGGCGTTGGGTGCCGTGCCCCTGCGCCTTCGCTCTGGCCTAGGTCTCTGGCTCTAGATTTGGCTCAGACAGCACCGTTGCCTCAGTGGCTCGTCTCATCTGGGTGGCCCGTCGACTCGTGCACACACGTTGTGGCGACGGAAGAGACGAATAAGCGCAAAGGCAAGGGCGCTGGCAGTTCGATATCGTTGACTCAACTCCTACTCCCGCCGGCGGTGGTCTTGGGCGCCCCGTGGCTGGGTATGTTCATAGCAGCGTTTCCACTGCAGGCTGCATCTTTGCCACGAAACCACCGCGCGTCGTGAGCGCGGTCAAGTTGTTCGTGCATGTCGCAGCTCGCAGCCCTGGCCGGGCCTCGATACCTGCACTCGTTTTGAACGAGCGCGATGCTTCAGGATTGGGAATTGCTCAGGCGCAGCCACGCCCGACGGTGCGTCATCACCAACGTACACGTCTGGAAATACCTATGTAGAAACCCTCCTCTTGCTGGGATCAAGGCTGTACGTTCTCGTCTCTGCATATGTACTACCTTGGCAAAGACACAGACACAATGACGAAGCTCGCGATTCTCTTCGCCGTATGCGCTGCGCTTACTCAAACGGTAGGTTGCTGCTCCCACTCCCATGACCACAGACGGTCAATTCTACTTCGCCAGCGACGGACGGCTCTAATAACTGAATCAGGTTCTCGGCCAACTGGATCGTGGCGGCGCGTCCGCCGTGACGGGGCGTCTCCACCGGCGCGAGGTGTACGAGTATACCGCACCAAACAAGCAATACAAGAAGGTCATCTGTGGGCAATGGCAGAGCTCTACCGAGCATCGCTCCAGTCAAGCGTGGACTCAGAATTTCGAGTACCTGAGGAAGACCGAGAAACACGTGAAGCTGGGGCCGGGTCAGTGTAATAGGGTTGCCTGCTGGAAGGACACTGGAGTGTGGTGGTGTAACGAGGTAACGCAACCCCCGGGGCGAAGCGCCCTGCGCATGCTTGTCCAGCTGCCGCGGTCAAGCCTTCTGAAGTGGTACCACGACGATGGCTGACAATATACCCGCATAGAGCAAAGCAGAGAAGGACTTGAAGGACTGGAAAGCCTTTATGGAGACCATGAGACACATCTACACGATTGGTAAACAGAACTGTGTTGAGGAGGCCTTTAGCACATTCTCGATCCAGGCGTTCCACCAGGACGAGTGGAGTCTCGCCGTGTCCCGCAAGAAGGGCACAGAATGCTGAGTGCGTTGCGACTACCAAGTACGACCAGTTACCTTGGAAGGGCCCTGGGCAAGGCAATGCGGTACCGACGGGTAGACGATCGGTTTCGGCGCATACAAGCCCGCAATTACAAGTCGAGTTAGTAGCGTGAAGGCTGAATGGAAAACCAAACGTCGTGGTCCTCGTGCTCGGCTTATAACCCGACTGAGCTCGGTACGTACCTAGCTGGTGATGAGTGCTGGAGCTGGCCTGGACGCGCTCCCGTCCCTTCGCCCCTTCCACGCTCCAAAGCAAAGAGCATTGGCAGCTCATGCAGTTCAGGCGACCCGGCCTTGGCATCCTTGCAGCCTGGCCTGGCATCTGGGTCGCGGCTGCCCACCCTTGGACCCAGGCATCCAGGGCCATCTGTCTCGACTCGCGACTTTCGAGTCTCGACGCTGGAGGCGGTGACAGACGACCCCGCGCTTGCCAATTGAGGAGCCCAGCGCCATTGGATGGCAGGAGTCACCCTCCGGGCGCCGAGACGGGGCAAGCACGGAGCACCACGGACGGCCTGGCGCCTGCCTCCCTTCCTTTCCAGGGTCCAACTCGCCCCCACCCCGCAGAATTCCAGACGTCGTGCGAGACCTCCATCACCAGCCTCTCTCTGCACTGCGGCTGCCGGAGCGCTGGCATTGCTCAACATGCGAGAAAGGCGGCCATACGAGTCCGGACGCGGTGCCATCCCTGCTCAACACCATCGCTCGGGGTCATCAGAGGGCACCCACCGTGACGACCGGCGTACTTGCTTGCTTGCCGGCTCTCGTCAACGAAGCTCCCGGGTTCCTGTGATGGCGAGGACGCGCGCTCCTTTAATCTCAACAGCTTCGGCACCTTGGCGACGCGACTTACCGACGCGCTTCAGAGACAGTGTGATTGAACCGGTATGCGTCTAGTCGCGATGGCGCCGCTCGTGATGTGCCGGCGCAGATCGAGGAATTCCGCCGTGGTCCCGACCATCTGGTCTCTCCAGTGGGAGGTTCATACCTCGATCCATTGTCAGTACCCATGCATCGTCCGCCATCGGCCGATCCCGACAGTCTTCTGGAGCATCCAGCGCCGTCACTCGAGCTCTCAACAACAAGCCCTTGCTGTTGAGAGCTTTATACGACGTGTTGGCATCAGACGCTCCCAGCATCAGGATGTCCACGCGGAAGGGCAACAAGCGTTGGCCTCGCTTCCAGGAGCTTCGGATCGATCCCCGAGCTCCATCGGCTCGATGGGCGATTCATATCTGTCTCCATGCCACCTTTCGCGATCCGCCTCCAGCGTGGTCTAGTACGTGACTTCAGTGCGAGACACTCGGAGCAAACCCCCCCGTGTGCCCTCTCCCCGGTATGTGCTACCGTGATCCAGTTGACGTGTCGCGACGCGTGCTTGCAAATCAGAGTCTCTCTTCCTATTTAGATAAGTCGGCCAAGTCGGACTTGTCCTGTTCCCCTTCCGTCTCGAGCTGGTGCGGTCGGCAAAGCGAAGCAGGATGTGCTGAACTACAACAATGGCACTCACAATCAAGCAACTCAACGGTGATACCGCCTTCTTACTGAGCTTTGAGCCCATTGAGTGCCCTTCAGCGGCACCGTGGGCGGCTCCGGAACCCTTCCGCATCCTCTTGGACCCCTGGCTAGAGGACTCGTACTCGATCAACCCGAAAGCCTCGTTTGCGTCTCACGTCCAGGTGGCGTGCGTGTCATCGCTGCAACAACTCGCACAGCCCGATCTCGTCATCATCACCAACGCTCGCAGCGAACACTGCAATGAAACCACTTTGCGCCAGCTACCTCCTACGGGCACCAAGACGCTCATCCTGGCGGAGCCCGCGGCGGCAAAGTTGATTCGAAGCTGGAAGTACTTTGACGAAGACATGGTCAGGACTCTGGAACGATGGGAGACTCGCACCAAGAGCCGAGAGACCGTTGTACGAGTCCCAGTGCCGCCGCAGGTCTGTGGCGGCAACGAAGGGGAGGTGACGGTTTCCTTGATACATCAGAAAAGGGACCTCACCGGTCTCCATTCCGCAGTCGCCATCACCTATCGTCCTCCCCCGCCGCATGCATCAATCTTTCGCCGCCAGGCCACGACACCGCCCAAGTCGCCGACGGCTTCCGTATCAGACCTCCCTCCGCAGATCCCCACGCCGCGCCTTTCCCTCTTGCAAACCCCCGACTCCCCGGTTTCCGCAATACTCGGACCCTTTACTCCGCCAGCATCGCCTGACTTTATGAAGCTGCGGACAGTCCGCTCGCTGGCGTCCATACCGCCCCAAGCGCGCAACCGGGCCGTGTCGCTGGTCTACTCCCCTTACGGCACGTCTTACAGCTGCATGGAGCCGTATGTCACCTCGCATCTTCTGGCGGAAGCAGCCCTTCCGTTGACGGCTATGCTGCACCCATTCGATACAGTGCCGCATCCGTGGGGGCTGAGCGGCAACCTTGGAGCCGGAGTTACTGCCGGGCTGGAGACGGCAAAATCATCGGGAGTGCGTGCGTGGATCAGCGCCAGGGATGGCAGGAACGTCGGCGGCCTTGCTGGCAAGCTGGTGTATCGAAAGAAGTATCCGCGCGAGGAGGTTGAGGAGGTTATCCGACAGGCTCTGGGACGGTCCACGCCGAGGGGCAGCGGTGGATACGCTCGCGGCAAAAAGCCCGGCCGGACAACGGAGACGCTGGCGCTGAGTCAAGGCGACGAGGTGACGATGACGAGTGAGGGCATCTGGGAGGAGACGGAGTGTCCCAGCCCGCTTCAGTACGCCGACGAGAAGCTCAACGCGCTGCTGAGAACCTAGACCTTGCTCAGGGGCGACGGCATGTGGTTCATGTGGTACGCTACTTTTTCATATTCATAGCTGCCCTACCAGGTATTTTTAGGGGCGTTTCGTATCAAGGAGCATCATATTATCGAATTAGGTATCAATAGCATTTCAATGAAAACTCGCAGATGAGAGGAAGCAATGCCAATTCGTATTGTTGTGAGATTGTGAGGCGGCGGCAAACCCCGGGAAGGGGAGGGAATGAGAGAGGAAGAAGAAGAGAAGTCGCGGCCCCAAGAGAATTTGAGGGTATCATCCATGCATGCATGCCTGCCTGCCTACACGTTGCAAAGCCAATTGCCCACCGCCCGCTCCCGTCCAGCTGTTTCGTGCTGTCTTTTTACACATTTCATCATGATGCCTGTTGCAGGTTTCGACGGTCCTTTCAGCAACCGCGGGTGCCACCCGCGCGCCGTCCTTTGCCTGGGGCCGTCTTTGTCATACCGGCGGTTTCCCCTGGTCCCCCCTTTCTCTCTCCCTACTTGAGCTGCTTGAGAATCTCGCTCAAAAAGTCCTCAAAGCTCAGGGTGATGAAGCCGTCGCGGTCGTCGTCGTACTTCTTGAAGACGTCGGTCATGCGCTTGAGGGAGATGCAGCTCTGGACGAAGAGGTCGAAGCTCATGACGCCCTCGCCGCGCTTGTCGTAGGTGCGGAAGAGCAGCTCGACAAAGGCCGGGCTGAGGCGGTAGCGGAAGGCGATGAGGGCGTCGGTGAACTCGGAGAGGGAGATGTTGCCGCTGCGGTCGACGTCGAAGCGGTCGAAGAGGGTGCGCCACGAGGCGAGGAAGGACCACAGGCCGCAGAACTCTTCGAAGTTGATGGTGCCGTTGCGGTCCGAGTCGAACATGCGGATCATCATGCGCACCGTCTGGATGTCGAACGCCGTCCAGTCGCCGTTGACGAGCGCCGCCGAGAGTTCCTTTTCCGAGAGCTGGCCGGTGCCTGCAGCGAACGGGGGGTAGCGTGTTAGTTGGGGGGCGAGGTATTACGTCGCAGCACCCCCTTTGGGATTGATTAAACGGGAGACCAGGGGAG